ACCGAAGGCACGACGTACGACACAGAGGAGATGGAGCAACACGGTTACACGGCCGTAGTGGAGAAAATCCACTAGAGAAAAACAATAAAGAAACTAGCAAAACAAAACAAAGAGTAATCGCACCGTGCTACAAAAGCACCAAAGTAGAAAAATCAGTCCTTGCAAGTGCTACCGCCGTGGGCACGGCGCGCGACACGGAGCGCTTCATGGAGCCGAAGGAGCAACGCGGCCGCGGTGAACGAGTCCGATAGCGACAAAAACGAACTAAAACACACAAAAGATACTACTACGGCGCTTCAAAAGCACCAAAGTATAATAATACCCACAAGTTTCGGTCAAAAAGACCCTTTAAAGTTGTAAAATGCTGCTAAACAACGCTCAAAAGGTCCGGCCAGACGACACCCGCGATAGAAAGAGACCTCGAAGATGGCGACCGGGGTAGGCGATGCCAGCGAACCTAGCGAGTGACGTCAAGTGAGTGTCACCTATATCGTAGTAGTATAAATTTACACCAACTTGCCCTTCTCGCACCGTTTTCGGTGATTTGGAACGTGCAGAAAGCACACTTTGCGTATAGAAAGCATCTAGCGACAACAAAATCATTACTTTAAGTAAGTGATTCAGAGCAAATAGACCCGATTCAAACAAATAGCGTGATCTCGATTCAATAAATCTGATTGAGTTAATTTAAAAGTAACTCACGATTTATTTCCACTCTAGATTGGGGTCGTTTTTTCACGACGGTTATGCAAAGGTATGCGGAAAGCAAGTCGCCTGCTTCTTGTGCAGGGGGGACCGGTGACGTCAAAAAGACGCCGAGTTCCAATAGGCTGTGATTGACAGGACTAGAGCCGCTAAATGAGTGACACTAGGAAGGACAGTGGGTAGACATCCGTGCTAGATACCTTGAGGTCCACCCACTTTTTTTTAAAATCAGCCAATAAGACATTGTCGTTCTGACATCATCGACAGCCCTGTACAAGAAGCAGACGAACTTGCACTCCTCATAGGCTTAGCACACCGTTGTCCTTACTTGTTTCTGAGAGGTTAAGAAACCCAGGCCGTGGCCTATTACGGTCCTGCTTCGTGATTGGTTCTTCGGCGCTCTTCTCGGTTCATGCTGCATTCTGATTGGCTGCGAAGAGATCATGAGATGCTCGGAAGTCTCGACACTCCGCATTTCTAAAGCTGTCGGCGGCGACAGCAGCGATAACTTAACACCTGCAACACGAACGAGGGGACTGCATATTTCCTTCTTTGATACGGCGAGCTGCTGCGGTCGTCACGGGAATTCCATAGGGAGTTTTCGAAGACTGCGTTTTATTATATACCGGCGCGTATTTTTCGGAGTTTTTTGGATTTATTCGAAAACACGGAACCCTAAGCATAAGTTACATGACGTCAATAGGGAGCTTTCGTAGACCGCGTTTGCCTTTCCGCTAAGCCCTCCGCAACGAAGCCCTAATGCGCCTGAGCGCCGATGTCCTTCACTGTAGAGTTCCGGGTATCGTAGAGGGTTACGCAGAGCGTTTCGGGATGGCGAAAACGATTCACGAAAACTCCCTAAATTCCCGCTAATTTTAGCGGGGAAACAGAATTGACGTATAGGTCGCGTGCCGTCAATTTCCTTGAAGTGTATAGGTCACGTGATGTCAGGTAACATCAAGTGACGCTGCTTTCCCCGCTAAATTTAGCGGAAAATGCGCGGACGGATGGGCGGACAAAAGTTTGGGATTGGGGGGTAGCGTGAAAAAGCATTTGATGCTTTAAAAATGGCAGAAAGATGTATTGGTGGATTTTTAGGGACTGCATTAGCATGACCCTTGGGAAATGCCACACATGTCCCCATTTGGGAATCACTAAAGCTGACCTTTTTACTTTTCTGTTTTTACTTTCTCTTTTGCTTCCTACATTTTTTTGCTGCCTCTTTCTGGCCTCGTTACGGGGTCAGTGTCAGCGTTGCCCAAAGGGGACGTGTGTGGCGTTTCTCAAGCGTCATGCTAACGCATTCCTTAAGAATCCACCAATGGATCTTCCTGCGATTGTTTCGCCCCCTTTTCTGAACTTTCCGCCTGTCAGAGTACGTCCGCGCCCTTGGATAGGTCATTCATATTCTTCGTGGAAAGAACCACATCCATACCACTCGTGGAAGGAACCGCATCCATATAACTCTTGGAGGGAACCGTATCTAACCGTATCTATCGTTTTAACCACAGACACATATCACAGCCCACGCACCGCTACCGCGGAAACCCAAGGAGAGGAATATCCGGCGACGGCAGAACGGCCAATGAGCACGCCCGTGTTCTACAGCGAAGTGGTGCCTCCCCTTCTCTGGCTCCACGTCAGCTATGCGGCTCTCCTTTGACGAAAACCCGACGGTGTCTGTCAGTTTATCAGCACCGGGAAGAAAGGGAGAGGATGACGCATGCTGACGTCAGCACTTCGGACCAATGGAAGCGTCGTACGCGTCACCCTGTCCCCTCCTTCTCCCTCTTTTCCCAACGTTGACAAAATGTCAGACACCGCCGGGTTTTCGTCAAAGCTAGCGCTCTAATTCTAACGCATGAAACAAGCGACAGGCTCTATTTAATACCTACGAAATTGAAAGGGTGGACATTTGCCAATTACGTTACTTTGATCTACCCAAGTGAATCTTTTTAAGCTGGAACAGTTGAATCTCAACTGGTTCAAACTTGGACTAGCCGGTTCCAACTTAGAATCAGTTAGGACCAATAGGGGTCCAACTACGACCAGCTTAGGGCTCAACTGGCTGTAACCATAAATGTGGTAATTGGGACAAGTTCATTCATGGTCGCAGACAAGCGCCGAATAAAGACAGGGACAAGAAATGAACGTCTGGTGCACTCGCAACTAACATTTATTGGAAAACTAATCCCTATATAGTCGTAAAAAACACCACTCAAGACTGCAAACGGTGTAGTCCTCTATCAAAAAATTTATATTATTTTTCCTTTAAGATTATGGGTGTGTAATGTGTACACCTCATGATCAATAGCTGCACATTCCCACGGCGTCAGTGTGAAAGAATTTATGATACCTACTTCGTCCCGTCAAATAATCGCTTACAAGCAAAATATATATTGCATTTTTGAGTTATAAATCAGAAAAAAAAGAACAATGCAAATGACGTCAACATATAATAATAAAAGTAGTAAAAGGTAAGCACGTTTTAATTTTTCATTGTTTGATTATCTTATGTGTAGTGCATTCTGGACAGTTCAAATATTTAATTTTAGTGCAGCAACTGTTTAGTTTTCATCTTTTTTTTTGTTTTGGCTTATTTGAAACTGAGATTTCTTACTATATAAAATGTGACTTGGAAGACAAGTCAGCTGATTACTGCTTGGAAGCCACGAGGCTCGTAAGATACAAGGTGTTTCAGCTAATTTGTTGCAAGACTTACAAAGGAAGGTTGGTGCAGGCGCGTCGAACCATTCTTAGCAATTCTATCGATCAAGTCAACTTTTTTCTACAATGAGCCAAAGTGGGTAATTAATACAAATTAATTAGCTAACTTTATGAATAATACTTTGTGTGCAAACCCTCCAGTACAAAAGTTGTAGAGCGTGTTCACAAACATCCCATCGCGTCGTTTTCATCAAGGTAACCTCGCGTGCCTATTTCTTTTTAAATTAGAAAAAGTGCACTAAATAAAAAAAAAGTCCCACGTGGCTAAAGGCATTAACATGGCAGTTTGTTGGCGTGTAGTCACGCAGGACTTTTTGCAATCTCAGATCGGTTTTCCAGGACAGAAATGCCACATTTAAAGAAACGGCTCGATGGAATATTCTCTTTTGTGTTAATTATTTAATTTGTCACTCCGCAAAGAGAAAAGAAAGATGTCCACAACAGGAGTATGAAAATTACTTAATGGGTTGAACACGTGCAGCGTGCAGACATGCTCTGTAGGTTTTCCATAGAGCCGCTAAACATCCCGTAGGGAGAATTTTTTTTCATAACAGGGCTGTTATTCAGTTCAAAAATATTTCGGATGATACACTGGTCAATATTATAAATGCACAAAAAAAAACCTCTGAATATCCATAAATATTTTTGTTTAAATTAAAAAAAAAAATGACGCTGTTGATTTGCACAGAAGGTTGTAAAATCTGAACACCTCTAAGCCCAAGGTAATCAGTCTGCTTGCAGGAAAAGTCTATACTATATTTCACCTTACGATGTGGCACAGAAAAGGATACAAGCGCGAGCTCCTTACTCTAGGTACAACATTTCATCTTTGGTGCTACTTCCTTTTTGACCCCGTGGTGAACCGTCTTTTGTCTCGATCGCTCGCAGCAATCTTCGGCCATGCTAAGCTGCCAATGGACGGTTCAAACCAAATGGGATTTCGGCTTGTGGTTAGAGGAACACTGATATTTTTTTTATAGTTTCCGCGACCCGCTGCTGGTCGAAAGCGTGCAGGTTTCATTGGACGAAGCACCGGCGGACCGGCGGCGGGAGCAGCCAATGGGGCGACGGTCACGGCGGCTCTCCATGACGGCTAAGCGGAAATGTTTAGTGGCAAGCTAGTCTTCGAGGAGCAGTATAGAGCAGAAGAGACTGCTTCTAAAGCCTGCCTTTGTTCTCTTGAAGAGTTTGCGAGAAGCGAGGGGCTCCCCGCTGCTCCTGGCCGGTGTTTGTGGGCCCCTTCCAAGTTGATATCTATCCAACCCTGAATGCGGTCAGCCGAATACATATATGTCCCCAATGACGTCAGACACTTAAAACAAAAAAAGTCCGGGTTCCGCTTTTTGGAAGACGAAGTAGGCGTCGGTTTGGACCGGTTCTGTATTCAGGACTCTGAATACAAAACTCCACGGGAAACAATTTAATACACCTTGTGACGTCCCTCGAAGGACGGCATGAGAGTTGACGATTACCCTGATTTGGTCATATTTCAATTTTATTAAAGACTAGAGCACGCTGGTAAAGAAAAAAGCAGTTTTTTATTTGTTTTTATATTTTATGGATGACAGAGACCGATTTCCGCAATTAATTGACCAAAGTCTGAAAATCGTTGCACTGATATTTTGAAAGTTTCCAAAATAACTGTTGCATCCATTTCTCTGCTGCAGCACACAGTTGGGTAAGCGCGCTACATAATGTTCCAAGTACGCGGTACAGCTCGCGGGAACGGGCGTCGATGCCGCGAAAGGGTTAAGAAGCATATACTATACTTCGCAATGATATTGACGCTCTATTGACTTCGCGTATCTTATTAACCCTTGGAGTAGAAGGTGTTAAGAAAGAAAAAAGAAATATCTGACTTATGTCGCTATCTCAATGATGACTGGTGATGACACAATCTTGTTGATTGAAACTGGTTATGTCTTCAGATGTTTTCTTCTGGCGTTGTGCAGATGTCAGATTCCTGCAAAAAAAAAAAAGGAACATTCGTTATTATGGAATACATTTTAGCGCTCAGAACACAAGAACAAAAAAACTAGCCAACCCGTCCCCCGCTTGGCTGTAGTGATGGGGCTGTATTAGAAACACGGATGGTATATAAGTGACGTTCCATGTAATAAAATCAGTTGTTAGTAGCGTATATATTGTAATGTCTGATTCTCGTCCTTTTGTCGTTGTGTTTTGAGCGCTAAAATGTATTCAAAGTTCCAAAACCAACTAGCCCAGCAATCTACTCTACTGAAATTCGTTATCAGTTTGGTTGAATTTAAATGCTCTTAAGTAATTAAAAAAACTGCTACGAGTTAAGTGATGATTGAACATTCTTACTTGCTTCATCGGAGGCGGCGTCATACGATGGGTTATTCAAAAACACAGGAGCACTCCTGCAGGAAAAAAAAATGTTATATTAATTATGGAAGACATTTACACAATTAACAAAGGGTCCTCTACGTGTAACACCTATTATGTGCTGCATGTTTAACCACATGTAAACACTTGATAGCATAAGTAATTTCTAGGCATTAGCGATGAAGATTTTAGTTGAAGACACGTGTAAGCATATGCTACTTCTAGAAACCGTGGCAGGAGTACAAATAATTTTCTTCAAAGTTCACCTGATTAAAAAGTAATGTTGCAAATAACAAAAATCAAGTTCAAAGGTAAATATTTTTTTAGCGTAATTTGTTTCGACATATTAGACATACATCCACAACTTTGTATTGTTCAATATGATTAAGACTGCTCCTAAAGATTGAAATCATAATTTTTTTTATAAAACAATAGGGTAAAACTAGAGCCACGAAATGAGGTACGCTTTGGGTATCGCCACTCCGTTCCCCGATCTGCTAGTGGGCGCCGCCATCTTGGTGTTCAGTGCAGAGCAGACGCAACTGTCGATCGTCAGAATTCAAAAATGCGACTTCTTCACCAGGTACGTTGCAAGGGAGCTCAGGTGATATTTCTTTGCTCTGTCGCGAACCGTTTCAACATTTCTGGAGGACGGAAAATCATGTCCTGCGATTTCGAATAAAGCTTCAGCTGGCAACCAAAATTTTAAAGGGCAATTCCGGCCAAAAATCAAAATGAAATAAATTCCTGATATCGCTGTAGTGACACAAAATACGACCCCAGCCAAAATATTACGCCCATGGGACGCCGCATTCTCAACTAATGGCGATAATAAAAATGCGACCCGCCGCGAGCCTCTGCTCCTTAGCGGGCGGCCAGCGGGTTGACGATCGCTAAAGCAACATTGGGCCGTGACGTCAGTATCGTTCTCTTTTTTTCCTCCGGTCCGGGCGTTGCGCGGAGTGCGGTTCTTTGAGCCGCTACCACCGCTACTTCGGCTTGTGATTGGCGTGTTTAGCCGTTGCATTTATCTGTAGCCCGTGTAGCTTCGGTACAGCCTTTTGTTTATTTGCTTGTGAGGACTCCAAGACTCGTTTTAGCGAGCAACTCGGTGCGCCCAAGACTGCCCAGCTGGTCCTCGAAAGATGCCGAGTGCAACTTGTAGTGCTGTGGGCTGCTCAAACAACCCGTTGCGCAACACGGAGGTGCTTTTTCACAAGCTTCCAACGGACCGGAAATTGGAGAAGGTATGGGTGACCGCTGTTCGACGAGTGGACTTTGGACTTCGGCTTTTACGCGCCCCAGGAAAAAAGAACGAAAAAACAGACGTGTACAGCCCAGCACATGTGTGTTCGGGCGCCGCGGCCCGCGCTATAGAGCCTCAGGTCTTCGTATATGGAGCTGACCCGCAGCGCGAAAGCAAGAGGGCCCACAGTACTGTACGTCACTGGCAGCGCGGCGCAGAGCAACGCCGCTCCATCCACGGAGCCCCGATGACAATCTAGGCCTAGCGACGAGTACGGAAGACCGCACACACGGCGACAGCCGCCGAGTACGGCACCGAACAAGTTCACGGGTTTTCCAGTCGCTAGCTTTTGGGTATACGCACTAACTCTTGCTACTTATGGTGGATAAGTACCACGTATACAGAATTAAAACAAAATCAGCTTACCTCCTATCTTTAGACGGCTAAGCGCAACAGAGGTAGGTGCCGCTCGGCTTGCGTACTCGTTCAACGAGAACGATCCTGACGTCACGGTCACATAGCGGCTAATTTCCGGTGTTGCCGGGGCCTCGAGCGGGTAGTTTCGGTTTTTTGCCCGCGCCCCAAACAAAGGTTTGAGGCCGTCGATATCTTTAAAACTACGCACAATAACGAGAAGAAAATCACACCTTGCAATTCAGGGACGCTGACTGCACTAAAAACAGTCATAATCCCAATATCGAAAGTATGGACCGGAGTTAAGCACCGTCTGGCTGAAGTGTTGTTTCTCTGAAGCGTAGCTTTATTTAGTGGCTCCAAGTAAACCCTTCAAGCCGCATTAATAACCCGCCCCCCCCCCCCCCCCCTCACCTGACCCCCTCCCTAAAAAAAAAACGCGAGGCTACGCCACTAGCTGTAGCGGTCTAAATCATTGTAAGCCCGAATTTTTATGAGCCCGTCGGTACCGAATAACAAGAAAATGGCAGTCCGAGGCAAGTTTAGTCTTAGTTATTCATAAAGCATATAATTACCGTACAATTGAAATACTCATTAGAAAAGCCTGATTCTAAAAAAAAAGCAAAAGAGCGATATGTTTTATTTAGTTTCACCACACTATACACAACTTACGGTGATGAGTCCAAATTCATGGCTTTAGGAGGCGGTTAGTTCTTTTAAAGTTGTGAGCTCGGAGCAGGCATCGAGCGTTATGGACATAACAATCACCACTTGACGCACATTTAAAGACGTAAACTGATTTAGAAAGGCGAGTTGGGCTAGTTGGTTGTACATGCTTGAAGTGAGGCGCCAAAACAACGAGGACACAAGGAGAGAAGCAGACAGGACGTGGCGCACTTTCAACTGAACTTTATTTTAGAAAAACACAGAAAAGCAAGCTATGCCCAATGTACACGTGCGCATGGGTAAGAAATAAAGATATAAAGATAGAACGAAGCCATGCGCGTTCTCCTACGTGACACGTTCATTTTGAAGGAACATACTCCCTATCAGATAGAGATAAAGATGGGGCGCTGACACAGACATCGGTGCCACGAGATCTTATGGTGAAGGCCTCCAAGATTTCGCCAGCGATTTTTGTTGCGCCGCTTCCAACAATTCTTGTTTCGTCAAACTTTGGGTCACACTCGCAAGTTTGACAAAACAAGAATTGTTGGAAGCGGCGCAACAAAAATCGCTCGCGAAATCTTGGGAGGCCTTCACCATAAGATCTCGTGGCACCGATGTCTGTGTCAGCGCCCCATCTTTATCTCTATCTGATAGGGAGTATACGTTCCTTCAAAATGAACGTGTCACGTAGGAAAACGAGCTTTGCTTCGTTCTATCTTTATATCTTTATTTCTTACCCATGCGCACGTGTACATTGGGCATAGCTTGCTTTTCTGTGTCTAAAATAAAGTTCGGTTGAAAGTGCGCCTCGTCCTGTCTGCTTCTCTCCTTGTATCCTCGTTGTTTTGGCGCCTCATTTCAAGTATTTAAAGACGGTTCTAGAGAGTTGCAACGAGAACAATATACATATATACATATATCCATAAATTTTTCATTTTCTTGATTATACCTATCTTTTTTCTGTCTGTTTCAAATTCAAGCTTCTAGGAACGTTTGTAAAGGTTGTAAGTACCTAGTGATACAAAGCGTTTGACCACGTCACAAAACATTTGACCCTGTTAAATCATCTCTGGCCATCTCCACCGCAAGATGGCCAAGTGTGATTGGGTCCCACGTTGGTCGTTAATGTTTTTTTTTTCTTCTGTGCTACCGGCCCAGAGAACGACACAAGGCACCGGTTCAACAGCACAGTCATTTAGTGACTCATCGCTGCACGCCGCAATCCAAAAGCTCCCGAGCACACTTCTGCGCCGTCATTTTATCAACGGCGTAGCGCCGTTCGCGTCTAAGATTGCACTTGGCCACCTCGCGGCGGAAATGGTCAGAGGCTTTGTACAACCAGGCTGCCTTTAGGTAGGCCTCCGTAGATGTCCGCTCTTTATAATTATAAAGATGCTAGGATTTTTGTTTGTGTGGCATGACTACCGTTTTTTATTATCAAATTTAGAAAATAATCGTTGCGAAGTTTTTCAAAAGAACTCACAGCAGGGTTCTCCTCCTTCTATGGTAGAGGAACCCAATGATGGCAACACCGACCAAAATCAGAACCACTGGCACCGCAATGGTCCAGGCAGTCGCCGCTGCACAGAGAAAAAGAAGAATATATATTTGCTTCTCTTATCCATCACGCCTTTTGTGGCCGGCATCAAATGGGGTCAACATCAGAAAACTTCCTCCTACAGAGAACGAACGGGGAGCATGATAAACATCTTTAGGAACTTGGTCAGCCTACTAGGCATAAAGGAAGTACACCGCCAGAGAAAGACTTAGGAATAAAAAAGGAAAGTCTCCGCGTTTCCCATGCAACACTTCATTTTGCTTTCGGTTTTATTGTACAGTGAAATATCAGCCGAAAAAACTTCATGGCACCTAATGCATAAGTTTGCTCAAGTGAATGTTCACTGAGTTGAAATTATTGGACAAAACGAAGGTTTGCTGGGAAATTAAATTAATTTTCTTCTTATGGATAGTTTGTTCAAGTAGAGTTTGTTCAAGTGGTCTTTCACTGTAACTCAGCATTGGGTAAAGCATATCTTAAACGTACCTGAGGTAAAGTACAAAGTAAATTAAAGGTGATGTACTCCAAGTGAAGTAGTAAGTACACTTGGTGCAATGTATTTGAAGTAAAGTACTGTACATACAGTATACATTTAATGTACAGTACAAGTACTCTTAACACAATCTTTCATGGTGCCCTTTCATTCTCATACATAAATTTTTAACTGGTATGCACTGCCTAAAGGGTGATCGTTGTGCATACGTTTTTTTTTTTTAAATGGCGGCGAATTTTGGAATAGTTTGTTCAAGCAGTTTGTTCAAGTGGTCTTTCACTGTAACTCAGTATTGAGTAAAGTATATCTAAAACGTACCTGAAGTAAAGTACAAAGTAAATGAAAGGTGACGTACTTCAAGTCAAGTAGTAAGTACACTTGGTGCAATGTATTTGAAGTACTATAAATACAATATACATTCAAGTTACAGTACAAGTACTCTTAACACAATCTTTCATGGCTCCCTTTCATTCTCATACATACATTTTTTGAACTGGTATGCACTGCCCAATGAGTGATCGTTATGCACCAGTTTTTTTTTGGAAATGGCGGCAAATTTTGGATAAAGTCAAGTGGTCACAAAGTTGTTGTTTTACTCTCAGTGACAAACTATTTAACACAATCAACTTATAAGGGACTAATTTGTATCAATCTTAAAGCCGCCATGATTCACCAAAAAAATGTCCAGATGCCGTCCCAAAACACGATAGCGCGTTTTTGCATGTGGATATACCATTTCTTTTTTCGTTCAAGGTTAGTCAACTGTCTTCTCGACCTCAGAAATTATGTAGAGTACTGTAAAAAGAAAAAAAAAAAGAACTTGAGCTTGTGGTAAGCGTGGAGACCGAGAAAGTAAGTGCGTAACTCCACTAGTATTCTTAAACTCCTCGCCTGCGCTGAACGAGCGAGAAGTAGCAAGAGTTAAAGATGTTGCGGAAAAGCCATCCTCATTACACACGGCGATGTGTCGTAATATTTGGACGATAGCCCTCCCGGTATTTCTTTAGAATTGAAACAGCTTCATTTTACTTTAAACATTTAACCAGAACAAAATTTGAAAAAGTACTTTGAAGTCGGGAGTTGCACTTTTCTGGAAAGATACCAGAAAAAAAAATGCTTTAAGTAAGGTACAAGCACATGCTTAGGGAATGTACTTCAAGAGAAGTTAGATTTTTCTAAACCTACTGAGCTAGTACTTTAAATACATTGAACTTAAAGTACTATCCTACAATGTTGTAACTAATATGTTGTTTCTTAATGAAGACGGTATGCGTAAACCAGGAACTTCCTTTTGTAATCCTAATTTAATTAAAAATACAGCTTGAAGCATGAGCTAGCTAACTTTTGTAGCTGGTTTCTCATTGCATTTTCAAGTTGCATGATTTAAGCAAGCGCAGGCAAGTCCTTCTACGTTACGATTGCGGCCAAGGAAGTTCACCTGCGAACTTCGCTTTTGACGATGCAAGTTACGCTTCTCCCCTGATCCGTTAAATGTATGGGAATCTTCAAGCAAGCTTCTCCTCTCTAAGGTTACTAGCTTGCTCGGAACTATAGTTCCACTACCCAAACTATAGGGTGGTTCAAGTCACCAGGCTCGATCTAAAATTGACCGTAAAAATCGACGCCTGCACGTAGCAATCTTAACTTTTCGTCAACGGTGTAATTCACCAGGTCGGTTTTCTTTGGTAAAATTACAAAGCGTAGCTCTCTTTCTGTAAAAAATAAGGCCAAGGAACTTGCCAGGGTCTACGGCGGGCAGCAACGCAGACGACAGGAGTCCAGTAGCGGGGTGTGTTTGGCGTTTGTATTGATAGATGGCGCTACCTCCTTATCGCGACGGCTTGCGACCACCGTGGCTTATTAAAATGAATATAATCTTTTTGAAATGTACCTTCGGTTAAAAAATAAACGCGAACAATAAAAGGAAAACTTAAAGTAAAAAAAAAAACGCGTCTTCTGCGTAACAGCGGCGCTTTTGCTGCCAACGGATCTTGTCTGCGTGTCGTCTGCTATCTTTCGCTGGCCGGCTGCACCTTCAGACGCTGCTCTCGAAGCCATCTATCAATACGAACTCCAAACACACCCAGCTAATGGACTTTGTCGTTTTGGTCGCCGCCCGCCGTAGACCCTGGAGAGTTTCTTGGATCTATTTTTTAATAAAAAAGAACTACGCTTTGTAATTTTTTCAAGAAAAAACCGACTTATGAAATTTTTGATTGCTACGCGCAGGCGTCAATTTTTACGGTTTATTTTAGATCGAGCCTGGTGACTTGAACCACCCTATATAATGCACATTTGCGGTTTGAGATTCCCATACATTTAACGGATCTAAAACACTTGAATCTTCCAAATACTAAGTTTTGTCTACTTTAATTACCGCAGCTCTCCGCCGCACCAAAACTTGGCAAATCGCTAAGTCTACCGTTCAAGTCAGCCAATCAGCGAGTCGGAAAGAGACACCTGTCTGTACTTCACCGTCCTATAGTTGTGCGCAGTACTGTCAAAGCTATGGGCGGAAAAGAGAGTAAAGTCCCTTTTGTGCGAATTTTAACTAACAGAAGAATCTCCGAGGGAGAAAAACCTCATTGAAAACCGTCTGTAGGGCCCACCAGGACCCCTGAAAGGTCTTAACGCACCAATCAAGAATCAAAATTTTCTAATGGGCCTCATGCCCGTCAAAGTTTTCTAATGGGTCTGACTCAAACTCTTCAGAAATTCTTGAAGGGTACCTTCAAGAATTTCTGAAGAGTTTGACAACCCGTCAAGGTTTTTTTAGAGGCCTATGGGATCTATTGCAAAAAGTTTCGGGAGGGCACGTGACCCATCGAAATAGTTTTAACACGTCTGTGGGGGAAATCGCGTGACCCTTCAGGATGTACGCGTTGGGGAAGGCGCTTTGCCATTTTGTATCAGGCGGCCAAACGACCAGTCGCTTCAGTGTTTGCTTCCCGTCCCAAACGTGTACTTTATTTTATAAAGCCGATTAGTCTGCGGATTAGAAAGAAAGCCTCTCAGTGGCTGTTTCTTGTGCCTCTCGTACGCACAGCTTCAGAAGATCGTTCAGCGACTATCAGGAACTACACCGTTGCCGTACTTGGGATTTCGTCAACAGTGGCCGATGTTGGTTTCGCTTTTGTCGTTTCCGCTGAACATGTTGCTGACGGTGCGTGCGTGCGTGCGTGTGGTGCGCCCGCTTGGTTTTAGGAGTCGAACTACCAAACATTTTATGAATTTACCCAGCTGCATTGTGAGTACCTTGACACAATGAAAGCCGTTTACAACTCCCTGTAACGCCGAATTAGAGCGCAGCTCTTGAGAAGGAGGATTGGAAGGTACGGAGAGGAGGCTATGCCACTCCTCCTCTGCTGCTCGCCTTCCATTTAGGGGAAGTGTTTCCGCTAGATTTAGCAGGGAAATTTTTCCGCTAGATTTAACATGGAAAATTTTCAACTAGATTTAGCGGGAAATTTTCCCGCTAGATTTAGCGAGGAACATTTTTCGCTAGATTTAGCGGGGAAACTTTTCCGCTAGATTTAGCGGGGAAATTTGTTCGCTAGATTTAGTGGGGAAATTTTCCCGCTAGATTTGGCGGGTAATTGTTTCCCCTACATTTAGCGGTGAAATATTTCCGCCAGATTTTGCGGGGAAAATTTTCCGCTAAATTTAGCGGGGCAATTTACTGATATGCACCGCGTGGTTCCGCCGACGGCGACGGCGTTCCAGCCGGAAACGGGCGCCTAAGAGCTGCGCTCTAAAATATTTTTGGTGACAAGGAATTCGGTTGATGCTATTTGGTTTGATTGCTTTTGTCTACAGTAGCTTGCGCTGCGTTTTCCGTACATGTGTGTTCTTATTGTCTTTCTGATTCTCACCATGCATGTGGAACTCAGTCTAAAATAAACTTCACGTGTAATAGAACTGAATTCTCAAGCGAAGCTCTCGCAGCTTAAATCGCGGCGCAAAAGTTTCAAGCTGCCCTTTGCACAAGTTCGGGGGCACCTTACCTGACAACTGTGTTATTACGCGAGATCTTCGCGTTTCATCTCACATAGGTCACAAAGGAAGTCATTTAGCACCATCGTGATGCTGTATACTGTGCATCCTTTATCGTTTTTTTCCCAAGCAGCAAAAAATATTTGAGTGATCCAATTGGAATTGCTTCCTGTTCCTGCCTCACCCCGACGCCACGCTCCATTTCAACACAGCCATCAAACAAGGCGTTTGGATTTACTAACCCACGTAATACCCCAAAACATTTATGTACTGAGTGAGTCAAAGAGATAATTGGCTGCATGATGGTACCGGATAGGTTAGTTTCTTAATGTATCCCGCTAGAATGTTCCACAGAGGTGCCTAAAGGTGGCGGATTTTGCGGTATATCAAAATTTCACTAAACAAACTTACACGAGTGGAAGTTTAAAAGCAAGAGCTTGTAACCTCTACTTAAGGCGTCTTCAGCTAACAAAAGGCGTCTGATTGGCGCGGTTAACAAATTATATTTTCCCGAGGAATCTGCCGTATCCGGTCGGCATGCTATTCAGTACCTCTAGAGCGAAAATAGTTTTTGTGGAAGCGGTAAATAAAGCCGATGCCAAAACCGACGCTCAAACATGTCGGCGATTTTTAGGGCCGTAACGCCAGTGGCAGGCGGGCTGCAGGTCGAGAAGGCTAACTAATAAACAGAGCATGCCGAGCATTTGTCTCGTGCTGTTGCGCAAGCGCTGGAGCGAGTTTCCAGAACATTCATTCGACATCATCAAACTTCTCGTAATCATTTGGGAACAGATTCTAGTGCGCAAAAGAGTGAACCCCTGCCTGCCACAGGCGTCACGTTCTCATTTTTGAACGGGGCAGCTGCCCCGTTTTGGGTATTTTATTTTGCTGTTGTGTTGTAGTATCTCTTTTTTTTGGTCAAGTGTACTTTGGTGTACCCGCCCTCACACAAACACAAAAGTGCTTTCGTGAGACGGATTTAAGTGTTTGTATAATGAAGCGAAAATAAACGATTACTATTGCTGCCAATAAAAAAAGAAATGTAAAAAAAAAAAACCGGTGAGGAGCAAAACTGAAAATCTATTAAAATACCGGAATATTGCTTGGACCCAATATGTTAGTTACCAGTTCAGCTACGTTTGCTGATGTGTTTTTAGACCATGAGTCGGAAGGCCCGCGAGGGAGTTGGACGCGGCCTCCGACACGAAACCATAAAAGTAGCCCCGCCTTCTCCCACAGACTCAAGGACAACATGGCACTTTTTACCTCAGATGGGGCGAGACAGGAACAGGAAGCAATTCCAATGGGAACCATTGACCGGCATCCCTATATTGAAGCAGAGAACGTCTAGACTTCCTTTCTGCATTTCTTTCACCTACCTGCCTCCTTGCCCCCTCCCAACACACGCACACCTTCGCGACTTGCTGCCCGGTCCCTCGGCCTCTTCCGCGTCGGCTAAGTGACGACTCGGCCAACACCATCGATAATAACGGAGGCCTCCGAATGCCCCACTCTCCTTCTACGGAACGTCATCACAGTCGGATGGCGTCAACTCGGCAACTAGACTCGAGCCCGATGCCGAGCGTCCTTCGACATGTTGATTGGACACGAAGCCCAGCTGAACTCTGAAGCAGCGCTCGTATCCAATCCGTGTCTTCGCTCCATCCCACTGTGTTGACGTCACAATTCTGGTGCACAGGCTTTGATTATTCTAGATGGTGTTGACTCCGTTCGATGCCGCAAGAGGTTTCCGACCACCTTTGGTTTAGAAAATTCTGCCGCAAATCAGAGACCATAAAAAAACAAGTGAATACTGTTTTAACGAAAGCTAGATGTGGGTCGAAAAACGCAATATTACGCAAAAAAAGAAAAGAGAAAATAATTTTGGGTTTTTATGACATTTTGTTGTCTTTGAATCTTCATATCTTATGTATAAAAGTAAGTGGCGGGTATGATGACGAAATTATGGCCGATTCGTCTGGGCCCGCATCGCACCGGTGCAGTGTGGTTCGTGGTACACGGAAGGTTAGAGGGGAAAGGGGAGCTTCCTTCTCTCCCCGCCACTTTTGTGTGCTAAAGTGGAAAGAGTTCACTGCACTGAACGGGTGCGATGCGGGCCCAGACGAATTGGCCATTAGTTGAATACGAATTTAAAACCTCCCGGCAACCGAGAACGGAGTAAATCTGAGCCATGAATTCTGCGCGAGGGTCTTCAAAATGTGACGTCACCCGCCATCACATTTACGTTGACAAGTAGGCATAGTCGTCTCCGCTCCATAGAAGTCTCCTGTTGTTTCAATTTCTCACAGGAAATTTTTAACGAAGCAATTTTTTTTACGCCGCGAAGGACTATCGCTAGATGCTTGTATAGTAAGATTCGAACGCGTTTTTCCCTTTACGTAATTTGAGGGCATGTTGAGATTCTGCGGATAAGAGCGTTTGTTCTTAATATTTTCTCATCACAAGCAAATTTTGACTTTATGTGGTTTAAAGCATGTACAATGAAACTATTAAAGATTAGTTAGAATGTATATTTTTATAAGTATGAAATTTTTAAGAAAGATTTGTTAGTCCCTTGAAATTAGCGTTTTTTTGTGATCTTTAATGATTTCAAAATAAGTCTAGCAGACATTATTTTTCTTTATTGCCCTTAGTGCTTTAAAATCAGCGTCATGTTTTCGTCTTCTATCTTATTAGGGAGTTTTCATAGATCGTGTTTTCCCCTCCGCTAAGCCCTCCGCAACGAAGATGCCGCTACTGCGCCTGCGCGCCGACGGCCTTGACTGGAGAGTTCCGGGTATCGTTACGGAGAGCGTTGCGGAACGGGGAAAACGTTCTATGAAAACTCCCTATTCTCCTTGCGTAGTTGCGGCGCTTTGAACGTGAAAATGAGCGGATTAGTTTATTTTAGTAGGCTTTTTTAAGTGTGTTGTCATGCCCAACGCGTGTACAAGAACATGCTTTTTTTTCTGCATGTCCATTGCATCCAAAACATAGTACACAAGCTATATCAAATATAAGAGCGGATTTATAAAGAAAATAACGAACGCTATAAACTAGGAAAATTTCATTTAGTGATCGTAAGTAATAAAAACAAATGTTTTCCCCTGGCGCATTTCTTATTAAAGTCGTAAAAACGTTTAGTGTGCACAAGCCACGGGAACGTGTTTGTTTACCGGATGAATGGATTTGTAGCTCGGCCGAGCTGCCAGCGACAAGCTCGCACCGTTCTCCGGACGCAGTGTCCGGACAGGTGCACGTCGGACGTTCGCCTGCTGCCAGGACATCGCAGTGGCCGCCGTTCAGGCAGAAGGAGGCCGGACAACCTAGGATGACAAGTAGAAAACCAGAACATGTATCTCGATAACGCAACTAATGTTCAGGAGACTGATCTGGCGCGACCAACCAACACGTCCTAGATACCCCGGCCGTAGTAATGATCGTCTATCGGACTTCAGTGGCGAGTACAGATGTGTCCCGTTGTGTTGGTGCATTTTCTTTATCCGCGTTTTACGGACTGTTTTATCCCCATAACATACACTGCACGACACTGTTAACACAAACATGACTTTGACACTTTTATTTTCCTTTACATTCAACTTCGAAAGAGTCTTGGCGGGCCTAATATTTTGCTGCTTAGGTTAGTGTCCCCAATGATTACTCTACACCGCACTGTATAGTTTGATGACAGCAATTCAATTCCAAAAAAAAAAAAAAGGCGATCGCTTGTTTGCGTTCACAGTATCGCGCAGTGTACAGCGTTTACCAACTGACTTAATTTGATACTTTTAGTACCGTAGCACTGAGTTTTTCCACGCCACCCGCCGGAGGCGTGCACGAGGCACAGACTGGAAACGTGGGTTACGTGTGCGATCGGCTGGAATTGGTGCTCAATCAGGAAAGTCACCTCCGCCAATCCCATCTAGAAGACAAGGCCTGCCAATGACGTCATCGTTGGTGGATCTCCGACCCGCCCCCGAGCGGCAAACATGCAAAACCTCGACGAGAGACGCCGCAAATAGCGGCGGACGCGTTCATCTTGGCGTCGTCGAGTGAATCCACTCGTGATGACGTTTACGGGCTAAGGCGCAAGCCTTGCCTCCTAGGCGGTATTAATAGCGCTGACCCGCGGGAGGTGTTATACAGAATTCAGCACTACGTCCTTGTTGTGTAGGGAAGGTTGGGTCAACATAGAAGTACATTTTCGTTTTCTTGCTTCAGTATCCTATTCGTGATAGATTATATTAAGCGAGCAGCTTTTTAATTCCACCGAGATGCAAGTGGCTATTATAAGAGTTTATAAGATGTCGACAAGATGCGTGGTTTTGCAAATCTGTGTGTCAGAAAGTCCCCTGTCATTCTCACTTTGTAGGCTTTGGCGGTTATGGGATGTCTTACTTAGGTTTGAAAACGCAGTCGTTTATATGCGGCAACATGTTTTATAAGAGGAATGCTTAGTGTTATATATATGCGAAGGAAGTCTAAAATATTTTTTTATTGTTTTACGCAGATTTTGGTTAGGGCTAGGGTTTCATAACAAAATTTTCTCCGAAAGACGTAATTTTCCCGTTAAATTTAATGGCAAAAGGTAAATTTGCGTATTCTAATTTAGCACCAAACAAATTTTCTTGCTATGCATGTAGCAGAAAAACTTGAATAGGTGCAACATTGCTTATCTATTTGATTTCCCTGCTAAATTTAGCGTGACAAAGCTTCCGATTAAGTTTGGCGAATACATTACCCCCCCCCCCCCCTCCCGTAACAAGCATTAAAAACAAACTACATTTTGTGCATCTCTGGCTTATCCTATATATGATATATCAAGCACTATTTTTGCTTGATTTGACAAAGATTCTCAAGGCCATCCAACCAAAGAACTGAACATAAAGTAAGATAACTCGTTATTTTTTTATTATAAATAGTGTATGGATGTGACAGTGCTATGATCAACCTAATTAACTATGTTTTGTCTATTTCTACCTTTATTTTATTTTTTGTAGATATTTGGAACGTGCAAGGGAAGCCTGAAGCCACTCTGCGGACTAAAAAGTTTTTTTTTCTTTTTTAAAGATATTCATTTTGTTGAGAGGTGACTGATTTTGTAAATTACAGGTCAGGCTGATGGCGTTTTCCATTAACCTAACCTGTAAGGTTAGGTTAGGGCAAACGCTATGCAGTGGTTGGGGCGGATTTATAGGTCAGTGGGAATTCGGCTTCATAGTGGGAAGCTGCACAGAGATATAAAGTCACGGACAACAATAACCTATTTCTCTTTCTGAAAACACTTAAAAGAGTCGCCCTTGTGAGCTGGCAGGCTGGGGAGGCGGTCGCCACCTCCGTCTTTCCATCCCCCATGAATCCGCCCCTGACACTGGTGGGGACTATATACCGGGCTCGAGGTATCGAAAACAAAACTTTTCTCTCAAGATTTGCGCCTACTTATTTACAACAAGAGCGGGCTACAGTCTGGAAGATACGACAACTAGGAGAGAGTTACGCCGAAATTGTATTTACTCCCACAAACGGTCTCGTCGGATCCGTCGCTGCAGTCATTGTGGCCGTCGCATAAGAAGTTTCGGTTTATGCACCAGTCCGGCGACCCGCTTGGGCAGAAGGCCAGTGTTTTCTCGCACTGGTTGCGGCCACCGCACTTTTCGTCCAGTCCGTTGGGGCAGTCCCGCACTCCGTCGCAGAGCAGGCCCAACGGGACGCAGTGTTCGTCGTCCCGACAGTCGAACTCTCCATGACCACACCCGGCAGTAGGCGGCGTCACAGTTTCTCCAGACGCAGTGCTCGACCCCATGGTGGGTACTTCGGCCGTTGTAGCCTCGCTACGGGGTGCTGTAAGAATGTGTGACACGGAATAATTGTATATGTACAGGAAGTCTTTGCGCAGATAAGCTAGTGAAGATTAGACTTACCACAACCCCAAGATGGTAGGTATAGCAAAATACGACAGACGCATATATTTATATATGTCGAACCTGCAGTCTCGGGATTGTGTTGTGTCTAATCGTGTATGCTCCGCTTGCGAAGCAGGGTATGGCACAGGTCTAAAATTTCGGCCTCCGAGTATTGTGGGATGCGACCGTCACTCTCGCTGGAGAATCGATGTGTACTACGACATCAGTCGGCAATTCACCGCGCACGCGCATTCGAGCGCCTCCCACTGTCCCTCGGAAGCACGCGCGCGCACTGAGTCGTGTCGTTTGCTTGATTACGACCTCTTTAAGACTGTGCTCTCTTTACAAAAATAACGCAACTAGACATATCCAAGTTGTACATGCAATGTCCGAAGGTTCAATGACCTTCCTGAGCATCATACTTCAGTGTAAGGTCTACCTTTCGTGGGACGCAGAGCGAAAAATATCTCCAGGCGCTCCGCAAGGCCGCTTCCCCGCAAGAGATTAACAGAGTACTATGCCCCGGCGCTTGTCCCGTCCCGTCCTCCCGTGTCCTTCGTCTTTAGCTCTAATATTTTCATGAGGTTCCCCGCATGCGCTGTAGTCAGATTCGAATCACGTGACCCTTTCTCTGCCAATGAGCAGTTGGCGGCGAAAGAAAAGGGAAGACGATAGTTTGATTCCGCAATCTAGTTACTCTTGTGCGACGCAGGATAACTGTATCTGCTTCGCTTGCAGAATACGATATAACAATGGTCTCTGTTTTTTATTTTTTTATGCGAGTGTTGTGGGAAGCGACCCTTGCTTCTTCGCAGGAGACACAAAGATGTCTTGTGAGCGACCTATGTTCAACCCTACCAATAGTCCGATCATCCCTAAGCTGACAGTGTGGTGGGGATTAAGCGATCGCCATGTCAATCAATCTCCTCCCTTTCGTTATCTGACCCCACTCTCCGCGGACGCGACTGCGAGCAGAAAACGTTCTAAATAATGCGGCTTTGATTTGAACTTTGTTAGTTCCTGGTGGTCGTAGACTGTGAGTGTTTCAAAACTTCTCACGAGGCACCTTAACCCCCCACCACAAACTCTAAAAATGTTTTCTTGGGTGAGGCAACTGATTCTGGTGTCCCTAAACTTCTGAAACTTAAGATGGTTCTGAATGTGGATGACTGTTCGGCATCCGTACTTGCGTTAGTTTGAAATGGTTTTTGATTCATGAAGAAACAGGACTAGTTCTTTTGATCTTGATGCTTTCCAGGCATTGTAGAAAAGAGCTAATGACTGCATGACTGTTTTTTGGACATCAAAATAAATAATTTGTTCATAAATACTTTCCTTTTTAAAGAAGCCAAGCTCATACAATCCTTACGTGTTTCTGGTGGAGCCAAAGTCCTAGGAGTTGACTCCGTTGAATGAGGTGTCGATGCCGTAACTGCAAAAGATCACAATTACAGTTTATATTTTCAAAACATATAAATCCAGGTAAAATTGCATGATTCTATATATTTCCTGATAGGAATAATAGTATCAGACAGTATGGCTAACAATTTTCATACTTCGGTTCTAACAAAACACTAGTTAACACTTATCGAAAGATTAGTTAAAGGTTTATAAAAAGCTAGGTAAAAGACTTATCAAAAAGTAGTTGAAAGTCTTAAAAGCTAATTAAAGGACTTGTAAAAAGTCTAGTTAAGTGACATAAAAATTCTAGTCAAAAGTATTAGATAATAATAGTTAAGATTTAAAATATCGGTCAAAATACTTGTCATAGCACTAGTTAAAAAGTTATAATAAGAATGGAAACACTGCAGCCAACACTTCACATCATAGAGAGCTTCCTAGCAGAAGTAGGCATGAAACTATCGGCCGAGAAGACTACACTCCTGATATTTGGTAGAGAAAGAGACAACATCAACCCTACTCTAAAGTTCGACGAGCAGACAATAGAAAAGAGTGACGAACACACCATTCTCGGAATCCACGTCAACACCAAACTCAATCCCGACAAATGGATCAAAAGAATGCGCGACGCATGGAGACACGGCACCTCGATCATCAGAAGAATAGCGAATAAACACGGCGGAGCAGGTGAAGGAATTGCCAGAACGATAGTTCAAGCGGCACTCATACCGAAAGTCACGTATGGCTGTCGCTTTTACAGATTGACACTGCATCATTGGGCCCGTCTCGAAACCTTGATGAACGACGCTAGAAGATGTATCTCGGGCCTTCCGAGACAAATAAGACTGAAAGAACTACATAAATGCGTGCCATTTCCGTCGCTGAAAAAATTGGCCTCCACGCAAGAACAAGCACAAAGAGTCAAGATGCAACACACCAAACAAGGCAGAGAAATCGCCAAACTACTTGGTTGGAAAATCGAAAACAATGCACTCATACCAGACCAACTACCACCATAGGAGAGGATCGACATAGCCCAATCGGCCCCTATACCACGAAAAATAAACGGCACAAAAAACCAAAAAAAGACGGCGACACAAGGCAATGAAGCACGCCGAGGAAATAAAAGCCATCATCGAATGTAACGACTCACCTACCATCGTCTGCTACACCGACGCAGCCTTCAGTGAACGAGGAAATGCTGCTCTTGTGTGGTACGTTGAAAACACGAAAACTACTTCCACGAAACAAGCACCTTTCTGCGGAACGGCGCAAGAGGCTGAGATCACGGCCATTGAAGAGGCCCTGAATGCACTAGGACAAGAAGCCCAATACGGCACGAGCATCACCATGTTCACAGACTCCCAAGACGCCATCCGTTCACTGAAGACGCAACAAGAAACGTGCAAGGCGATTCGAAATATTACGACTACGGCCATCAAACTAAGCATGCGCGACATCCGAGCCTCGGTACGCTGGATCCCAGGTCACGAAGGGATCGAGAGCGACGAGATAGCCAACGAGGCAGCAGGAGAGTTAACTCGTTCCTTCCTCCGCTGCCTTCAATGCCACTCCGAAGCCCCCGTGCCCTCTCGAACCCATCAAAATCCACCACAAACGTCACGACCAATCGAGTCTCCGAAGAGCGAACCTGACGGCTTTTACGACCCTTTTTGGGAAATTAAGGCAGCCTGCGAAGTTGCCTTTGCCGGGCGCCACACAGTGCATGCTCGTGATGTTAGCGTGCACGTGCGACTGCCAGCGTGCCAAAAGATACCTTCGCGTGCACACCGCACACGTGCTTGAGGTTTTGTGGCGTCAGTTGCTTCTGTTTGCCGCTGTGGTCGGACTCGGCCACAAAAGAAATGCCCGAGGCTCACCACTCCAGCTTTTTTATTTTTTTAGCCGTTGGCAACTATGCGGGGCGCAAGTTCGTCTGCTTCTTGAGCAGAGATTGCGGTGACGTCAGAACAACGCCGAGTTCTGATTGGCTCCGATCAGAAGGGTAGTGAGTAGACCTGGATGCAGCTAGCATTTGAGGTCTACCCACCGCCCTTCCACTCGGAGTCAATCGGAGCTCAGCATGGTTCTGACGTACGGGTAACCCCTGCGCATTAAGCGGACCAACTTGTTCTCCGAACAGGATGCTTTTTAACTCACCGTCCGAGGTTGGAAGCGGACCCTCCGAGCATTTCCCGGCGAAGACTTCGATGTCGTCGATGGCAACGTCGCTTTTTCCCAGTTTACCAGGATGACCAGAAATGCGAATCTGGGAAGCCGTGTCAAATGTTGAAGGGGGTTCAGTTTCGGTTACCAGTACAGAGACGACAAAGGCGAGAATTTCGTAAATGTATAAGTAAAAAAAAAAGAAAAAGAAAAAAAAAAAGAAAAAAAAAGTAATCTCCGAGCATTTGAAGGTGAGCTAAGAGTTATTTCGTTGTTAATGCTATCCTGATATACGACGTCTTATAATTTACCACCGGGTGTTTCCGCGAAGACTTCAAAATTCTTGAAATAATGTGCTTCAGAAACACGATGACTCATTTCGGGAACACACTTCCATACAAAACAGACGCTAAGAAGTGAAAAAAAAAACAAGCAAAAAGAAAACATGCTAATACGGTAGCCAACTCATTAACATACATTTACGAATAAACTTTTCAATTAGCTCAGTGTGGGGTCCTGTAAAGCGACGAATTTGTAGCTGCAAAAAAAAAAAAAAAGGAAACAATCTCAAATTGGCGTCTAAAGCGGAGAAAAAGTCGCTGTGCACATGCGCGGTAGAAAATCGCGCAATGATTCTGCAGAAAGCTGATTTTCAGCGATCTTTGTGTTTTAGTGAAGACTTCGCTTAAACATGCGGCATACGACACGCAAGTTTAGATGACGTGCAACGTCGTAATATTAGACATCTACTGAATGCGCATAATATATGGTTCTAGAATAAAGTGACACGATTGATGAGGAACAATCTATACACCTGATATAAACCAAGAAAATTTAATGTGGACTGTATAAAACATACCTCTTTTTGTTCGGAAATATAGTTGTGGTGTCTAATACAAACATTAATTAAATATTGAAAGTATGCAAGAAATATATAATTAGTGCTAATTTTTTTTAAAATATAATATACAATTTACGAACCTGGAATTTTAAAAAAATCTCTTCGCAAGATACACTGTTACAACATCAGAACTAACTGAGGCGTGAATTGACATACATAGCCTTACGGCTCCGTTTTCTAAAGCATGAACGCTAAAAAGGCTAAGCGACGTCTAAATATTGATCTGGCTGCGTTCAAATTCTCAATGAATAGAGAGCTTGGCGTGTTTATATTTCACTCGCCGATAAACATTTCCTCAATTTGTGTCGCGAACTTGATGACGAAGTATCATTACTTCGGACTATTTTCACGTGGTGTTTCTTTTTTTTTTTTTTAGGTCACAGCCATATTTCTTATAGAGAGACCTCGAATGTCGCAATAAGCACGCAGAGGAAAAAGAACACCATGGCTTGGGCATTTCGCCGACTGAAAAAGAGGTGTGATAGCACTGGATGACGGTTTTAACGAGCGTTGCTATCTTTCTGAATAGATCCTTTCCAGAACTCCGTCAAGCAACGCCATTTCTTGGGAACGAAGCTCGTGAATAGATCCGAGACTTCACCGAACGCCGAGGCCGCACTTGTTCTCCAAAGGGGCTCAGCCGAGTTGACACCGCGTGCTGACGCAGTCCTCGGGTTCAAAAATGTTCCCGAAGCAATCATTTCACCATAATGAAACAAACGACAAGGACTTTACGTAACGAATGTAACAATATAATCGGACGTTTCGTCTCTCATACTGGACACATCGTGAGCAAATCCAAGTTGGAAGGAATGAAAGAAACAAATCCTTGAACGAGGTCCGAGTACACCCCAGGACTTCTTTGACGCGAACCTCCATAAACAGGGTTACCTCATTCCTTCGAAGTTGGCTTCACCGATGATGTTTTCAGTATGGGGAAAGAAATGTTCGAATAACTTAGTATATTTGTTACGCAAAGTCGGCGTAGTTTGTTTCATCACGCTCAGCTAGCATGCCCGAACAATGACATTCTCAGCAAGTTGGCGAAGCTGCTACTATGTAGATGGTGTGCACTTGATAAAAGGGTCTATTTATTGGATATATTTCCCGCTAAATTTACGGGAGAAATCATGACGCCATGTCAGGTGGGATTGCGGTGTCATGTGACACCATGACCTCACGTAACATCACGGCGTCACCTGACACTATGGTGTCACGAAACACCACGATGGTACATCACGTGACACAACACGTTATGTGACACTGTGACGTTATTTCACACCACGGAGTCACGTGAGATTCTGACGTCACTGGACACCATGACATCCCGTCGCACTGTGTCGTCATGAGACACCATGTCGTCGGATGACACTGCAACGTGTCCTTTAAATAGAAGGAATTCTCACCCTATAGATAGCTGGCAGGTTCTTCATATCTTGCTGGAACAATGTCCATCCACTCTTTTCGGGAGCCGAGATTGTTTGCTTGTGGACAAGAACTTTCGACAGGTCCTTAACCCAGATATCGATCTTTGCATCACCTTCAGGTAGGAAAAGGGAATAAAAAATGAAACACGTTTACAATTCTCTGTAATGCCGAATTAGAGCGGAGCTCTTGAGGAGGAGGGAGAGGGGAGGGCACGGAGAGGAAGGTATGCCCTCCTCCTCCTCCGTACCCTCTCCTCCCTCATCCCCTCCTCTTCCTTGCTCCTCTGCTCCTCGTCTTCCCCTACTTTCCTCCTCCTTCCTCCCCTCCTCCTTCTCCTCCCCTTTTCTTCTCCTCTTCCTCCTCCATTCTCCCTTGTCTTCCCCTCCCCTCCTCCTCCTCTGTACACTCTCCTCTTTTTCCTGCTTACCCTCCCATCCACCTCCTCCGCACCCTCCCCTCGTCCTCCCCCATACCCTCCCCTCCTCCCAGTTTCCCCGCTAAATTTACCTGAAAATTGACGGCACGTGACCTCAACAGCAATTCAATTAAGTTCGAACTAATGTTCTCCACTGAAAGTCATATTCATTCACGGTTAACAAAACTAGATCTACTCACATCAGTACAGCTACTCTGGCAGAGCATAAGGGACACTTGAATTCATTTTCAAAAAGTGGCGCCCTCAGCTTGGAGTGTCCAAGGAGTAGCGCGATTAATGTTTCATGACATTCTAACCGCATTTATTTGCAGCGCAAGGCTCAACTTCGAATCTAAAAAGCTGTTAAAACTGGCCCTTACTCTAAAGAAAGGATCACTGAACTGTGCTCAGAAAGCCAGGAACGTTGATCTCAACATCTCAACGATGTGAATTAAACGCAATATTGCATATTGCCGCGCGCAGGGGTCACGGACTTGTAGAAAGTTCTCGTTCACTCTTGCTGCGGACATAACTATCGTTCATCCCTGTTTTTGTTGTTCTAGAAAGTGCTTGTTCATTCTCGCCCCGAGCGCGCTACGCTCGAACCTTCTCCGCCGAATCTTCGAGATACTGACTCACTCTAGATAAAAGGCCGCCCGCGACCTTGTCGAGTCAGTCTCGCCCCAGCGCTCGATTCTGCTGACACGCCGACTTCGACGCCCGCGACGCTCTGCTTTCTTCTGTTTCCTTCTTTATTTTTGGCACAAGTTCGCCACATTAAACGTTTATTTATTTCTGTTTATTTCTTGTTTATTGGTCACGACTCACCACCCGTGACATTTTGGTGGAGGTGCGGGGTACCGCATGCCCGTACAGCGTTCCCCTCCCAGGACCCGCAGTGCAAGCCCGACTCCAAGCTCGCTGAGAAGACCACTCAGCGCGGAACCTGAAACTCGGACCAGCCGCCGCACCAAGGGAGAGGATCCGGAGTACGGTTTGCTCCTGGATAAACCCAAGCCGAAGAAGACGACGATGGACAACCAGTCGCAGGCCCCCGCCGCTCCTGCCGTCGTCTACCTACCCGTCGCTCCTCGGACACCGGCTCCGTTCCACGGCGAACTCCACGAAGACGTTGAAGATTGGGTCGACCAATTCGAACGCGTCGCCCGCCACAATAGCTGGACCAACGAGCAACGGCTGCAAAACGTGTATTTCTCGCTCGAGGGGACTGCCAGAAGCTGGTACGAAAATCACGAGTCTTCATTGACATCCTGGGACATTTTCAAGAGCCAGCTGAAGGCGACATTTGTCAACCAGCACCGCCGAGAGAGAGCCGAAGACTTACTGCGTACCAGGACTCAAGGCCCCAACGAGAGCATCACCGGCTTCGTGGAGGATGTTCTCCGCCTAAGCGCCCGCGCCGATCCTCAGGCTACCGAGGAGAAGAAGCTGCACCACCTGATGAGGGGTGTGAAAAGCGAGATTTTCGGCGGTCTCATCCGGAATCCCCCAACAACAGTCGACGAGTTCATCACGGAGGCGACAAATATGGAACGGGCCTTGCTAGCCCGCGCCAGACACTACCAACGACACCCTGGCGTAAATACTCTAGCGACATCTGGATCCGACCTGGGCACCACCCTCCCCGACATCCGTGACCTTATCCGTGAAGCCGTCCGGGAGGAGTTGAAGAAGTTGCTACCTGCTGCCACAAGCCTGGATACGCCCTCAGTCGCCGAGATTGTCCGGGAAGAACTTCAGCAGGCGCTGCAGCCAGAAGTTCTCGCCAGCGCCGCTCCTGAACCACCGAAGCTGAGCTACGCCGCAGCTACCCGGCGACCACCGCCCCCTGCTCACCCGTATACGGCGCCACCTCGACGTGAACCTCTAGCGCCGCAGTATTCACGACGCCATGAAGATCGGGCGTACGTCCGCCCAGAACAAGCTGCTCCACGAAAGACCGACGTGTGGAGGACGGCCGATCGACGCCCGTTGTGCTACCACTGCGGGGAGGCCGACCATATCTACCGTCGTTGTCCCTACCGGCAAATGGGCCTGCGTGGGTTCCACCCGAACGACCCACGCCCGAGGTACGGCGAACGCCCTCACGACATCGAGGAGTACCTCCGACGTTCCCCCTCCCCAGTGTCGTCTCTCCGCCGTGAAGCCCGCTCCCCATCGCCACGACGTTCAGCCTCCCCAGCGCCACGATCCCGCCGAGAGAGCCTGTCTCCCCTGCGTCGTCGGGAAAACTGAGTGAGGCAACGCCTGGAGGTGACGTTGCCGAAAACGACGGAAGCAAACAGCCTCCGAGAACGCCGGAGCGCTCCCACTCTCTCGACGCCCCGCATTGTACCGACGCGCCTGCAACGGTGTCCAACAACCTAAACGTTGTTATCGATGGCCAAAACGCATCGGCACTCGTTGACACCGGGGCAGACTACTCAGTATTGAGTGGGAGGCTCTCTCGCCACCTTCGAAAAGTCACGACGCCGTGGGATGGACCGCAGATACGAACCGCCGGAGGACACCTCATCACGCCTGTCGGAAGGTGCACCGCTCGCGTCGAAATTCACGGCGAGACGTGTCCTGTGAAATTCGTCATTCTACAAGACTGTTCCAGAGACGTCATTCTCGGCATGGACTTTTTGTGTGAATACGGCGCCGTCATCGACCTTGGAGAAAACAGATTGACGCTGCGGACACCTGTTCCGCCTTCAGAGAAACTCCAAACTGCGTCAGCCGCCGTCCGAGTCGCTGCCGACCACGTGAATCTGCCGCCGCGATCTAGTGTTGTCGTACCTGTCGTGACCGATGCAGCAACCCGTAGCGAAGTTCTTCTGGAAGGTAACCTCCAGTTGCTCCTGGGAAGAGGAATAGGCGTCGCACGAGGAGTAGCTGAACTTCAGGATGGCCGCACTGTGGTCCTCGTGACGAACTTCCGGAATGAAACGCAACACCTCACGAAAGGTGCAGCCGTTGGCCACGTCGAGGATCTCCGAAACTCCGCCGAAATCGCCGCCATTACTGATGAATCCTCGCCACCTCAGCAAGACGGTACGTCGCCAGCGCAACTCGACATCGACCCTAAACTTCCGGACCCAAAACGACGGCAGCTGATTAACCTCCTCGCCGAATACCGTGACTGCTTTGCGACGTCGTCGAAGGTACGCCAAACAGCCGTTGCGAAGCACCGCATCATTACCGAGGACGACGCGCGCCCTGTGCATCGATCACCGTACAGAGTCTCCGTTAAAGAAAGGGAGGTGATCCAGGAGCAAGTTCAAGAGATGCTGAACGACGACATAATCCAGCCATCAAGCAGTCCGTGGGCCTCTCCAGTCGTACTGGTTAAGAAGAAGGACGGAACGCTTCGGTTCTGCGTGGACTACCGGCAGCTGAACGCGGTGACGAAGAAAGACGTCTACCCACTCCCCCGAATCGACGACACGTTAGACCGGCTGCGCCACTCTCGATACTTCTCATCGATGGACCTGAAGAGCGGCTACTGGCAGATCGAAGTCGACGAACGGGACCGAGAGAAGACAGCTTTCGTCACGCCGGATGGGCTGTACGAGTTCAAGGTAATGCCCTTCGGACTATGTACGGCGCCAGCAACTTTCCAGCGTGTTATGGACACCGTACTGGCAGGACTGAAGTGGCAGAGCTGTCTGGTCTACCTCGATGACGTCGTGGTGTTTTCCAGCGACTTCGACGAGCACTTGCGACGACTCCGAGCTGTTCTTCAAGCCATACGGACCGCTGGACTCACCCTCAAGCCGTCAAAGTGTCGGTTCGCCTATGACGAACTGAAGTTTCTAGGTCACGTGGTTAGCAACGAAGGCGTGCGCCCAGACCCTGAGAAGACTCGCGCCGTCGCGTCCTTTCCAGTGCCGACAGACAAAAAGGCCGTGCGAAGATTCCTTGGACTTTGCGCCTACTATCGTCGCTTCGTTCGGGATTTCGCACGGATTTCCGCACCGCTCACAAACCTCACGAAGGACGCCGAGAGGTTCGAATGGGCCGAGGAACAGCAGCAGGCATTCGACGAGCTGAAGCGACGACTCCAGACGCCTCCGGTTCTTGGACATTTCGATCAGGATGCGGACACCGAGATTCACACTGACGCAAGTAACGCAGGACTTGGCGCGGTACTAGTTCAAGTACAAGAAGGCACCGAACGAGTCATCGCCTACGCAAGTCGGACACTGTCCAAGGCAGAGAGAAATTACTCCACGACTGAGAAAGAATGCCTTGCGGTCGTCTGGGCAATCACGAAGTTTCGTCCGTACTTGTACGGAAGCCCGTTCCGCGTAGTCACGGACCACCACTCGCTCTGCTGGCTTGCGAACCTCAAGGACCCGTCAGGACGCCTCGCTCGATGGAGCCTCCGGCTACAAGAGTTCATCATGACTGTGGTTTACAAGTCAGGACACAAGCACAGCGACGCTGACTGCCTGTCCAGAGCCCCTGTCGAAACACCTTCCGGCAGCAGCGACGACGATGATGACGAGTGCTTTCTAGGGGCAGTGAACACCGATGACATGGCACGACGTCAACGAGACGATCCGGAGCTGCGAGCCTTAATCGAGCACCTGGAAGGGCGCGGCGGTACCGTACCCCGTGTTTTCTCACGAACCGTGCCGACCTTCACCATTCGACAAGGTGTACTCTACAAAGAGAACTTCGGGAACAACTCGCCGTGGCTGCTGGTAATACCGACCGACCTTCGAGGGGAGATCTTTCAAGCATGTCACGACGACCCGACGTCCGGACATCTTGGATACAGCCGGACACTGGCCCGTATTCGTGAAAAGTATTACTGGCCCAAGCTCCCCAAGACCGTCCACCTGTACACACGATCATGCCACGAGTGCCAGCGACGCAAGAAACCTCCGACGAGGCCGGCCGGACTCCTGCAGCCTATTTCTCCTCCAACTGCACCCTTCCAGCAGATCGGAATGGATCTACTTGGTCCTTTTCCGCCTTCGACGTCGGGGAACCGCTGGATCATCGTCGCCACAGATTATCTCACGCGGTACGCCGAAACGAAAGCTCTTCCTTCGGGGACTGCTGTGGAAGTTGCCAAGTTTTTCATTGAGTCCATCGTCCTCCGGCACGGCGCTCCAGAGGTCCTGATTACAGATCGCGGATCATCGTTCATGGCACAACTGACCCAAGAAATCTTCCGACTCAGTCACACCAGCCATCGTCGTACAACTGCGTACCACCCGCAGACCAACGGGCTGACGGAGCGACTCAACAAGACAATCGCCGATATGATCTCTATGTACGTCGACGTAGAGCACAAGACGTGGGACGAGGTGCTGCCCTACGTCACGTTCGCCTACAATACGGCGGTCCAAGAGACCACTGGATTCACCCCTTTCCAGCTGGTACATGGTCGGAAGGTAACGACCATGCTGGACGCCATGCTGCCCCATGAGCCATCTCACAACGAGAGCGACGACGCCCAGGCGGTTGCTCAACGCGCCGAAGAAGTTCGCCAGCTCGCCCGACTCCTGATTCAAGACCAGCAACGCGTCGACGCCGGCCGCTACAACCTTCGTCGCAGGGACGTCCAATTCCAGCCCGGAGATAGGGTGTGGGTATGGACGCCCATCCGTCGCCGCGGCCTCAGTGAGAAATTGCTGAAACGATACTTTGGACCCTACAAAGTGCTTCGTCGCCTCGGTGATCTTAACTACGAAGTCCTCCCCGACGGAACGCGCCCATCTGCAAGACGTCAGCCGCGACCCGAGGTGGTGCACGTCGTCCGGCTGAAGCCGTATTACGAACGATAGAACTTTCCACTCTCGTCGACGGGTGAACTGTGAACTGCGGCTCGCGATTCTGCTGCCTTTTGGTTTTGGATTTGTTTTTGTTTGTTGTTTTTCGTTTTGTGCTGCATCGGGACGATGCACTTTCTAAAGGGGGGGATAATGCCGCGCGCAGGGGTCACGGACTTGTAGAAAGTTCTCGTTCACTCTTGCTGCGGACATAACTATCGTTCATCCCTGTTTTTGTTGTTCTAGAAAGTGCTTGTTCATTCTCGCCCCGAGCGCGCTACGCTCGAACCTTCTCCGCCGAATCTTCGAGATACTGACTCACTCTAGATAAAAGGCCGCCCGCGACCTTGTCGAGTCAGTCTCGCCCCAGCGCTCGATTCTGCTGACACGCCGACTTCGACGCCCGCGACGCTCTGCTTTCTTCTGTTTCCTTCTTTATTTTTGGCACAAGTTCGCCACATTAAACGTTTATTTATTTCTGTTTATTTCTTGTTTATTGGTCACGACTCACCACCCGTTTAGATAATCTCATTTCAATGCCACAGGAAAAAAAGAGATAGTTATGTACATCGTTGGTACCCTTTAATTTAGGGAATTCTGCTAGGACCGCGATGACCGTTCCCTTCACCATCCAGCCTTTATAGTAAATTAAGGCTGGATGGCACGGATATGTTACGTGCCTCTCTTAGGACAACCACATATTTATGTACACACGTTGCAGAAGATATTCGACGTTGAAGGAACCGACCAGCTCCATCAGTTGACTGTCCGTTCTAGCCTTTGTTGTCTTTCATCTGGTGGCTCGTGCAACAAATCACGCGGTGTCAAAGCGCACTCCTTTTCTTTTAAGGGGTATCCACACGAAGGAGAACTCCGCGGACGGATGTCGTGACGTCAGCAACCCGGAAAACTCCGTCCCCGGCTCCGCCGCGTGCACCTGCGGAGCTTTCGTGCTTACAGCACGAAGCCTCCGCGCCTCCGCCACGGAGGAGAACGGGAGAACGGCGCTGCGAGGCGTCAAAAAGGGATGACGTATATCTCACGTGATGCGCGCTCCGCGGAGGAAAGGAGCGGATTTCTCCTTCGTGTGGATACCCCATTAACAGCGCAGTGTAGGTCAGGGGCTGCAATGTAATATGTGTCGTACGGGTTCCACTGATCCCTACTAGAGGGTGCTGCATCAATACCACCTTACCACCTGGAGGAAAAGGCCTGCGCATGACATCATCATTAGCGGAACCACCCCAAGCGGCAAACACGCCCAAGTTCGACGAGAGCGATACGCGCTGGTAGCGATGCTGACGGAATCTAGGCTTCACTGCGTGGATCCACTTGTGATGACGTGTGTTTGTGTGCGGGGAAGGGGGGAGGGGGGAGGGGGGTCGATGAAGGAAAGGAGGTCGGACGTCAGCTGATTTTTTAAGTGTACTCAGTTGGTCCATGGTCTTCTGTGTTTTTGAGGGGGTTTAAGAATCCACCCTAGCATTGAAGCTCGAGAATTCGGCATTTGAAGTGGGTCATGCACACTGAACCAACTAGAATCTCAAAAAGTATATGGAGCAAACGGTTTTCAGGAAGGTTTCTCGGGTTTGCAGGTGCTGTTTTTGCGCAATGCACATGCTCTCTTAAGATATCCAGAAAAAAAATCCAGCGCCTTGGACTGTGTTCGAAGGAACGCTGGGAATGGACAGATAGCTTGTCAAACGCTCACTTCCGGGACAAGCCGCCTACTTCCGGGACAAGCCGCCTACTTCCGGTGGCTTCATACTTGGTGGCTCACTACACCATTCAGCATATAGAGAAGATTCGTGAGGTTTCTTTTAAGCAGGGCTACAACACTCAAAATTTATAGCGACAATTGTCATCGCAGAAAAATGCACGAATTGTTTGTCTTTTGAAACTGTAATACTAAACAGATATTTTCCGTTACATAAAATATGAACGACCAACAAAACACCTTCCATACTCTTCTACTCTTCCAATGCCATAACAATAAAATGATCTACGATACGACAAAAACATTAGGTAATATTGAAAATGGCAGATCAATGTGTTGGATTACATATCACAACGTGTACTCACTTCCTTGGGCCATTTGGTAGAACATACGGAAACAAGCATCAGGTCCATAGCTGAGCAGTTCACTATCTAGGTAGCCATTTTGAAGCACGGATAGATCTTGAGAGTCAAGGAGCAAATAGATTCCTGCAAAATATAATAAGATTTTGTTTCATGGAAACTTTGAGAACGTTAACTCTAAGCAATATTGACTGGATTCGAATTGTGAAAGACAATACCAAATAACATAAGCTTTAATAAAAAAAAAAACAAAAAAAAAAAACGGTCGTGTACAATTGCGAAAACTAGCACTTCCCTGTATTTTAAGGAGTGAGAGAGAAGAGTATTGCGAGATGCGAGTAAGTTAGTGCGTACTTTGGGAAAGTTTGACATAAATCCATTACATCTCGACCAGTTCATGATGCGGAAGGTAATTTCCACGTACAACAACGCGCAGCCTCCTACAGAAATTATGTATGCCAGTAGACGACGCAGCCACGAAGCGAACCGCACACTTCCCATTAGGACTGTACGTGTCAATATCGGGAAAGAATTTCTCCCATCTTTGTTTTTAACAGGCTTAACAAATACGAAGTCGTCTGTAATCGCAACCCCTATCGTCAAACTCCGCGTCCAGTCGCGAAATAAGTATCTACGTGTAAAAATAATATGTTTATGTTGCTTCAGAAATTTATATTTGTGTAGCCGGCTTGAAACGAGAGGACCCACGAATAAATAGGTTTCAGAAACGTCCAGTGGTCAGAATCCTCACCTTCCAGAGTGTTGAGAGTGTGGTCGACAGAGGGACCCCCAGGGGTCATGGTGGCGCCACTGTTGCGGTACCACTGCATTGCACCGCTGTGGCTCGCAGAGTTCCCCCAGTTGCAGAAGTCTTCCTCGAACTGGCAGCTTCCGGCAGGAGGGCAGGATTCCTGGTGGATTTGAATGTCGTCCACGGCAACTGCCGTATCGTGATCGCCGGATGTGGTTCCCGTGAATGCAACCTTTGGTAAGAAAAGAAGGGTGTTAAACATGAAGATGGTAATTTGAATTTGTTCGGTCATAGTCGCCTCTATAGGGGCAAAGCCAGTGCTTTCGGCGCAAGAGCAATGAACAACCAGGTTGCCGTAAAAGGGAGAGGAGGAGCGGCAGACGAGAGGGAATCATCTTGAACGCAGCGTCACACTACAGTCATGAAGCGAACAAATCCCCTCTAATTTTTGCATTTGCGAAAACAACGAGAAAAAAATGGTTGGCTCTTTTTTTATCTGGTTCTTAGTGGGGTATGTTGATGTGTTGAGGGGCTGGGAAAAGAGGGTTAAATTATTGTTTTTTTTTTAAATTATTATTGTCGGTCCTGAGTAAGTTAACTGTGCCTCAACTCTTGTGCATGTGCCCAAAACATTTCTCCAAGAGGTACACTTTGCTTTATGTTGTATTGAATACTCTAAATCCACCCTGTATCAGCAATTCTGAGCTAACAGTAAAAATCAAAAACAAAAAACGTAATAAATAAAAGAAAACTTGAAAAAAAAAAAAACTTTTTGTAGCGTGAGCTACACTGGCCGAGGTTGAGCAGTTTCGCGTGGCTCGCATAATGAGCCGTGCTCCGTGCTGCGCATGCGCGAGGAGCAGTGACGTCACACGGCACACAGCTGGCGTGCCGGAGCCGCCGCCGCCGCGCCCGCCTCGCCGGTCTGCGCATTCCAGAGGAGTGATGTCATAGCCGCGGCAGACGCACTGGCGCTGCCGCGTGCCCAGCTGTGCGCCTCCGTTGCGCAGTAGCCAAGTGTGACGCTCTACCGGAGCCGCTTGATAGCGCCTCTCACTTTGTGCGCATAAGCTCACGCTCCGTATATCCTGGCATGCATACCAATGCTAAGCCACCACAATTTTTGTTTTTTTATAGGCAGCGAAACATTAGATGAGAGTTTAAGAAAGTACCCACAGATCTCCGAGGGCACCACCGGCATTATATCAACTTCCTGTCATGTTCTCTTGCTCCGTCTCTTCCAGTTTTGGCGGCCCGTTCAGGCATCGTGGTACGCTCGGTCTATTTCACAATTGACTTGTTGATGCTTTTTTGCGTATAACTGTTTCGAAGGCTGTTATAATTGCAATCGCCGAATAAACGCAATCAATAAAACTAACAAGGAAGAGACTGAACATAAAGTAGGGTTAATTTTACATTATTTTTGTAAATGCACTCATTTATTGAGTTGCAGTTATTAAATGTTGGAAGGTTTTGTAAGGGAGTCTTGGCTGCATGTGGTGTAACAGTACGCCCGTCGCTGCGCATCTGCCTAATTTTGAAGAGCTCATAGTAATATATATTGGCCAACATGAACATTCCTTATGCTCAAATTTAAGGTGTACAATGTGTTCCTAGCCCGTATCAGTGGGAGTAAATTGAACTGAACGATGACCAGGGCCCGTTTGCTCGAAGCACTAACTGCGGCTAAAGTTAGCCGCAGTACCTAGGAGAAGGATTTTGAAATCACGTGACTGGGCTCGGTAGGGATGCGGGCAAACATGGCGGCGCCCCGGTGAGTGAGCGCCGCTCGCTTTGGAAATATGTCGTTGTAGCTGCAATATCGGGCGCGTTAGTCAGCAACGAATAGTGCGGAGGCTTTCGCTTTGCTTCAAAGCATGGGCAATGACATCGCCGCATTTTTTAGATAGCTTCGATTCTGGGCATTCCTTAGCCTAAATGAACGCGATAATTGTCGGCATGGCAACGTCTTTGGAAAGCGGATTGCCTTGACTCAATCGGCCACACAAAAGCTGACAGCGTCCCAACAGACTTTCTTCTAAATTATCCGAGCATCGCGAGGAGAACGCTGGAAGTGTAATTCTACGGTCCACGCGCGCTGGCCTTCATCTTATAAAAGATTCGAAGTAAAAAATCATGATAAGCCTTTAACGAACGTGCGTGCAAGGCAAAATTTGTTTTATACTTTTTGCTTTAGAACGGTTACTACTGCAGACGCCAGCACATGCAACGCGTTGAACTACAGTCGTAGCATGCACCTCGGTGCTTGGATAATTTAGAAAAAGGCCTGTTGGGACGCTGTCTGCTTTTGTGTGCTATCAACAATCCGCTTTCCAAAGACGTTGCCCTGCCGACAATTATCGCGTTCATTTAGGCTTAGGAATGCCCAGAATCGAAAAACTATCTAAAAAATGCGGTGATGTCATTGCCCATGCTTTGCGGTTTAAGTGAGGTAAAGCAAAGCGAAAGCCTCCTGCACCATTCGTTGCTGACTAACGCGCACGATATTTCAGCTACAACGACATATCAGTTTCAAAGCGAGCGGCGCTCGCTCACTGGGGCACCGCCATGTTTCCCCGCATCCCTACCGAGCCAGTCACGTGATTGAAAAAAATCCCTCTCCTAGGTACTGCGGCTAACTTTAGCCGCGGTTAGCGCTTGGAGCAAACGGGCCCAGGTGGCTAAGTTTCATTGGTGTGAACTTATTCTACGTGGTAATATTGTACATCCGTGTGAACTTATTCTACATGGTAATATTGTACATCCGTGTGGCAAGAACTTGATACCTGTCGTTAGGGTCAACGAATGAAAAGGAAAAAGACGAAGTGATGTTGGATCTAACGAATAGCGTCGGAGGAAAATGATGTCAGCATCAAGCGTTGTTTCCTGTGCATCGTTCTTTTCTGGAGCTAGGTTGGCAGGCCTCACCACGAGTAGCCGCGGAGAAGGTTCGCAAAGGGTTAAGAAAGTTCCCTTCTTTATTCGGATAAACTTGCTCTATATTCCCATAGCATGTATATAAAGCTATTTACTTCCTAGCAGCAACTGATTTTGATCTCAACATCGTCGAATTCATCGAAAATCCGCAGAGCCTCACGAAGAAAGGACCACAGCTATCAAAATTTATTAATGCGAAGGTAACGATAATTAGTTTTTGGAAGTAACAATAACGATATTTCGTTACATTTGGAGGACGGTAACGAATCTCAGTAACACGTAATATTTTGACGAACAAACGTCTGTCGTCCGTCCCTGTGCTTATTCTTTCAGAAAAATGTAACGCTATTTCGTTACTTGTTTTCGGTAACGTGCCCTAGGCGAAAATCAGTCCACTTCCAGCTGGATTATGGAACTGTAAATGAGGTGGTCCAGCTGGATTCCAGCTGGATCCAGCTGGGTCCAGCTGGAACCCAGCTGGACCGCCTCCTCCGTTCGCATTTCCTTCGTACCCGATAGTACAGGAGAGAGATGGCTCACCGCGAGAGGTCCCTGGTGTCCCAGCAGGTCGACGGATCCGGAGAGCCACGTCATGGAAGGCACTTGAGAGGCCAGGACGCTCCAGATGGGTTCCTCGCGCTGAAAGTCTGTCACGCGGCTGACGTTCAGCTGTTCCCCGTCTCCGCCGGACAGGTAGTACCAGAACTTGACGCAGCGTCCAGCAGACGGCGGGACGCGCACTTCGGGGCTCACCAGGCGACCGTAAGACTTTGCCAGGCGAGCATATTTACCTGGGGTAGAGGCGCAGTTTCAACCTGTGTGCTTCGTCTACAAAAAGGGGGATGTTTCGTTTTTCTACAAGAAACGAATTGCAACAAAAAAATTCCTATGTCCTTTGTCCAATAAATACAATAGAACAAATACAAACTATATCAATTGTATAAGGTCCATCGAACGGTCACTATGTTTCTTACGGAGTAAGAAAAAACAGACAAATTGCCACCTGGACATTGAAGATTAAGACTTGTACCAAATGTGAACTTAGGTGATAGAGTAAAGTAGCAATTTGAGCTAATTGGTGATCCAACATGGCAGAACGGCGCACAGAGCACGGAGGAAGGCAAAATACGGGTAGAACGAAAGAGCGCTGACTTCTGAGTGATCTACTTTGAAAGAGGAGAAAAAAATGTTTCAGAAATTAACCCCACGTGAAAGCTAAGAAAAAGAGAAAAAAAATAAAGAAAATAATATATGCTAGGTATGGTTGATTTCAGCGAAAATATGAAGGGAAAACAAATCCCTAGAAAGACAAAAAAAAAGAAAAATAAAGAAATGGTATAACAGCACCAAAGGAAAAAAAAAAACAAAAACAAAAAAAACGCCCGGTAGTAGTCTTGGTGAGACAGTTTATTTGCATAAACTGTCACATAATTCGAAACAAGAAGCCAACAGGTATGATGCTCCAGTAGTGCTCACTGAGCCCCCAAAGATTAGCTAAGTTCTGTGCAAAGGTGGGCTCCGTATTTGACAGCTGGTCACGAACCTCATGCCAGAAGAAACGCAAGAACAAGTTTGTTTCATGCAGAGAAAGGGTAGTTTATAAGATCCCCTTAACGTGTGGCGGTTTCTATTTAAGGCACACTGAAAGACGCATCATTCACGCCACAGTAGGAGGGCACCGGCTTGCCCTGTCTGTCCTCCGAGTGCGCACCGATCTTTTGTGACACAACTATTCTCGGGAAATACCAAGATCGGACTACTCAAGAGATCTTTGAGGCCTTTCAAACGAAAAGTTAGGCTAGAAATGGGTGAGGCATTCCCCTCTGAAGCTGAGTACGAAGGAGCTGGCCTTCTTAGCAAACGCCAACGACGAGTGATTTTGGCCGGCCTGGTGTCAACAAATTGCCTTTTTAGTAATCGTCTCCCCTTCTTTCATCATTTTATCTTTGCTTTTCTACTTTCCTTTTTCCTTTCTAAAGCTTCGTCTTCCATTCCTATGCTTGCTGAAATGAATCATACCTAGCCTATATTATCTTTCTTTTCATTTTTCTTTCCTCCTTTGCTTTCACGTGGAGTAAATTTCTGAGGCCTCTTTTTTCTCCACTTTCAAAATAAATCAGTTGGGACTCAGTGCTCTTTCATTCTACCTGTCATCTTTTTTTCCTCTGTGTAGTACGTTCTTTTTACCATTAGCTGGCGAATTTTTCCTTGTACAATCTTAAGGCGTAACTCTGTTCCTGTAAAAAGAGACAAGCTCGTTAAATTCAAGGGCGGTCGTACTCGGAGACGACCGAGATAACGATAAATGACTTATGTCCCCATCTTCCGTCAAGCGCAGTGAGCAGACGACGCAATTACCCACAAAAAGGGTATTGACTGCTCCGACCGTAGAATACAAAAATAAGCCTTGTAGTTTCTGGAACAAGGCATAGGCTTCTATTTAGACAGCCGCTGTGCGAATATTCACTTAGCAATATCTACAACGTATCAGTGACTGCACATCCGAGAGTTCTAGTTGGAGAAATGTATAAACGTTGGCTAGATAGTAGGACATATTTAAAAAAATACAGGACATCGTGACTGAGACGATGAGCTAGGAGCCCGGACACGGAAAATGCCGTGCCTGTGGAAAGTATCTTTCCTCCAGAGGTGTGCAATGTTTCCACCTTTTTTGTTGTCGCTATTTTGGCGTGAAAGCGATAAATCGCGCTGTTAAACGTTTTATAAGCAAAGATTAGAGGACGATGTCACTGCGAACGAAACCAGAGGCACGAGCGAAGCGAAGCAAGAAAGGCGATGGATTCACAAGGTAAGGATGCATGGAGCACCCAGGTACGACCGTTTCGCCGGGCTGTAATGCATCTATTTTTCCCGTGTATATTGAGCATACAAGTTTGCTCTAGATTTAAACGACAACTATACTCTGTTTCACCTTATGATGTACCGCAGGAAAGGCTACAAACGCGAGCTCCTTACTCTACGGCACATCTTGGCGGCACAAGCTCTCGTGCATTAAGGCCAGCTGCCAACGCTCTGAGCTCGCACTTCTAGCCTTCGCTGCGGTACGACATAAGGTGAAACGGAGTATAGAAGTTACTTCATGTCCTGTCTAAGTAGCAAGGATTGTTCGAAATCATATCTCAAAAAATAATGTGAGATTAATCTTCTCTTAAGCCTCTTAAGGGCTGTCCAAAAAAAAAAAAAAAAGTCAAACACGAAAAAAAAAAAAAAAAAAAGACGCGCTTCTTTTTTGAAGTGCCAAAGTTTAGGCGAGCTTTCACGTTTTCAGTGAGAATATCAACTGCGCAAAGACCACAGATTTCCACCTCGCCTCCTCGCTGTCGTCTTTTATTTTATTTTCGTGGAGTTTGGGGAGTGACAATTACAGGGGAAGTCTTGGCGACGGCCAGCAGAGCGTTTGAGTGGCTGTCCATATTCACGTGACATGCACGCTCCAAGCCTCTGGCCAAGGACGCAAACAAAAAGTAGCTTTCACAAAAAACAACAATAACAACAACAATAATTTTGAAAGCGCACCGAAAATGGGGGAAAACTTTACTTTCTCAACAGTAAATGCCGTACATTTTATCTGATGTGTCCTCTTTAAACAGCCCTTTATAATTAAGTAATTCCAGAGTGAAGAAGGGCTTTTCATTGAAGATAATAAAAATAATGATAAAACACTAACGATTATGTCAAATACTATAGAAAGTTTATTTAAAATCCTTATAAATTTTCAAGTCAGGAGTTACCCAAATTTGTATTAAAAATACTAAAATTGGTAATTTTTCTAGCGTTCTAAAATCCTCTCTTCAGAAAACTTTATATACCATCAATAAAAGGGTGCCTATCGTTTGATCTAGGCTCAAAATATGGGTTCTGGAATTAGAACCCGTTGTTCTGCTGGCGTGATCAATTCTGTTTATTCTCACATCTGCGGCAGCTGAGTACTGGAAATCAGTGTGAATATATCGAATGCAACCATATTGATACATTAATTTATAGGAATTTTGTGATTCAATTTGGGGTCATGGGAGACAAGGCATGTTCCCCTTTCCCCCAAAATTACGTACCTGAACCTGTTTCTGTTGTGTGATCAGTACTTGGTTTCGGGATCGTGTTTCCCCTGTTGATTTCCCAGTCGTGTAGGGTCCAGCCGCACAAGTTGTATTCAAAGTCGCACACCACTAGTTCAGAAAGAGAGATAATGGTCATTAAAACTTGAAAGGCAATGCATAATGGACGCTGTCCGAAATTCAGTGCAATCCAGTGGCTCCAATAGCAGTTTAAATTTGCCATACAATGGCAGTAATAAACATAGAGTATTTTATTGGGTGCCACTACTTTTAAAGGTCAATGCAGGACGACAATATGTCCTGCAAAGAACTATTTTTATGTGAAAGCATTAACTGTCCCACGGAGTGAAGCCGGCGTTGTCTGCAGTCGGCAGCCAAGTTCCCAATGGCTGAGCGCATCGGCACCTAAAGTCCCATTGACCAAAAGCAGAGAAACGCAGATGCTTCGTCACGGAAGCCGGCGGGGCGCTCAAGGTCAAAGCCGACGTGCCTCAGAAATAAAACAGAAAGAAAAGCACAGCAACGCGGATGAATCGTCACGGAAACCGTGGAGCCGGCGGTTGTGCCACGCCTGCGCAGTGGGGTAGCGTGATGTCACCGCTGGAGCGCCGTGTGAAAAAGAAAAACGTGGCGCGCTGCTTGTAGGAATGCACTGCGTGTAGGAATGCTTTCGCATTCCTACACGTAAGCAGTCTTAATTATCATTCTTTAATTTTCTCTGGAGCTCTGAGTTTCTAAGGCAAAAAATAATACACAACGGGTCAAAAAAAAGCACCAACGCACATAGACGGCTTCATAAAATTATGCACATCAAGGGGCTTTTGCGCCGTTTGCGTGCCCCTTAATATATTGTCTGGAACCGAGTTATAATTGAACGCTTACGTAACTCTTATATTCATTTACTACGTCGTATGGCACTAATGTCCCGAATATAAAGGCAGCACATACTCCGCTTAAAGGGGTAGTGAAACGAAATTTTAGCGCCGATCTTGTTGCATAAATATGGGCTAGGGACAGGCACCACCTTGGAAAAATATAAATATCGCGCTGTAAAACACAGGAGAACTAATTTTAAACATAATTAAACGATTTCAAATTCTCATCTGGTGGATGGGGGGAAGTTCTCGTGACATCACTTGTGGCATAGGAGCAGCGCCGTTCTGCGGCTATACGGCGTGCCGGCAGAATTCGCCTAGGCCTGAACACGTTTGCAAAGCCTTGGCGGAGAAAGCCAAAGCGCAGTTGGCCACAGTGAGCTCGTTCTCGTTGTTGCACGACGCGACCCGAGCATGCTTCTGGCACTGCCGGTATTAGTTCCTGCGAGTCGCGAGCTGTGAGCCGACGTTAAAAAGGATATGTTTGAACTACGAGGGTGTCAGCAAGAGCCACGCAAATACCTGTTCACACTCGGAGCGGACACGCGCGTTTGATCGAAGTGCTGGATTCGCCCTGTTAGACCGCGTTTTGGTAAGCGCTTCTGGACCGATCTTTTACGATTGCAACTCGATACTGACATGACACTCGGCAAAGAAAGGTTAGACCGACATCGCGTAGCTCCCACGAACTGCTATAGCTCGACAGTGACGTAGCGTCGTGTCAGAATAAAAATGGCATACTAATAACAGAGTGTACATACCGAGTTGCGAAGGTAATCCGCATGGCGTTTATTTGAGCTCTATATCACACAAAACAAGGAGATAGAATCAATGAGAGTCCCTTTTCGACGACAGCGTTCGTCACCGCTGTCTCGGAAAACAAGGAGATCGAGATGACAAGGGGAAAATATTGACCTCTGAAATTTAGTTCAGGGATCAAACTACTCATCCGGGAAGGGTCCACAAGGGTCGCGCGGGCATATTCCATTCAGCAGGCCAGCCGGTCATGGACAGACGGTCTTGGCCAAGGACCGCCGGAGCAACGGTGCGCCGAGTCGATGTTGCTGCTAGGCCTACTACATTCTGCCGAGCTCGCTCGGTCGGCAGAATCGTGGCCGTTGTAGCTCTTCTCGTGTGTTTGTGGATCCTGCGTTCTCGATCGTCGTGGTCTGTTTTAAGTACTCCTTCCTTTTTCCTTGCTGGTTGAAGTCGGGACGCACGAGAAGAGCACGTAGAAAAATAAATGTCTGTTGGTGGCCGCTACCAAGTAACTGAGCGACGCTGTCGGCCTTGTTGATTTGATGGTAAAAAGTGCGTAAGACAGCTTCGGAGCTGTCGTAGGATTCTGTCGTAACCTGCGCAAAAGTTACGACAATTCCGTTTCGAGAGTACGGGTTTTCTCTCAAATTTGTCGTACGCACTTTTTTCGTCATGAGTTCGTTTTGAGAATTCGGCCTCAGAGCTGGTTTTGTCAGTGCTGCCGTGGTTGCAGACTTGCCGTGTTGCAGCGTGCGTGCAGCCCTTGCACATCTCAAACGGCCACGTTGTCACAGGTCGTAAATCGTCGACGCGCCACCAAGTGGCAACGCTCGTAACCACAACATCCACGCCGTAGCCTTTCCCGTCGGGCACAAGTGACGTCACGAATGCGCCCAATATCCCAAGACGCATCGCGCTCTCCGATTGCCGATTTTTGAGCGCGCGCCTAATCGGGCCCCTTAGGCAGAAAAATATAGCCATCCGTTCAAAATACAAACGCGCGATTATGATTTATGAATATCATTGATCATATTGAACCTATTTCTGACCATAATAGGTGTATTTCAAGTTTCGCTTCAGTATCCCTTTAAGGGCGTCTTCAACGTCTCCCTTTATCAACAACCAGAAAGGTGCCATTAGTATGGCACAGATAACATTCCTCAGATCACCGTAGAAATCAAAGTCGTGAGATTGAATTTCAGAAAGGTTCTTCTGTATGTCGAGTGCTGTCAGGATTCAGTAATATGAAATGGCACAAACGACTTTGCGAAGGAATAACATTGTTCTATGAATTTCATCAATTCGTAGAAATGGATGTAGGCTAATCAGACTGAGAAATTGGGGAGACAGAATTCGCAGCGTGTTTGAGCTGCGCTAGGTTTGCTCTCCTTTTGGTCACATGATCGTTTACGTCAGCCAATGGGAGTGAGATTCCAGTAGCAAAAAGACATCTGCTGCGTGAGTAGCGCTATTAAATTCCACCGAAGTTCGAAATGCACTAAGCCAACGAAATGATCTAAATTTGGGAGGCCAGGTAGGTGTTGCTTAATAGGCCCTATCATTGCGTAGCGCTGCCTGCGACGTGACATACGTTGAAATAAAGCTGAGGAACAGCGATGTCTCCCTTGATGCACTGTGAAGCTTATTTATCTACTTACGATTATATTGAAAGTACGTGTTAACTTGACATGCCCCGATAAACACGACAAAAACTGAGTAACCATAGCCCTAACAATGAACAGGGTTCAGTCATACCTTTGTTCTTGCACTCTCCACCCCTAACGTCGATGTGATCCACTGCAATAACCGCAGGTGTGGATCCAGGTAGAACAGCCTCCAGCACAAACTAAAGAAAAAAAAATCGTCAATTCAGCCCCGCTGCTCTCGTTTAAACTTCATGACGCCAGACGTGTCTGCACTTACGTGCTGCCACGTCTGGCGTGTGTCAGCACTTACTTTTTTTTGTAACTTAGAGAGTTATGGAACACATAGTATTTACTGAGGATAACAAGCATTAAATTGCAAAACATTCGGCCTCTGAAGTGTGTTTATGTTCTTGTTAAGCCAAACTATCGTCTCTTATTGAATGGACCATAGTTGCGTGGAATATGTTGCCAAAAATGCTGTTCATAGTGCGAAAATCTAAACATTTGTTGGAAATTTGAGAGTTACATCCTTCTGAAAATATTTTGCAACCAATGAACTTGATCTTTTTGACGTGATATATTATTTTGTAGTTTGTTGTATTACTGTTCCTAATGGTTTTTATTTTGTTAAGCCTTTCTGCGTCGTACTTTTCTTTTTGTTCTCAGATAAACCTACGTATTCGTAAATAAATTAAACAAAAATGTGATATAGATGAAATGCTTGAGATAGCGAAGAGATTCAGAGGACTTTTTTATAAACTGAAATCCCGGCTGGTTAAACGTGAAAAAAAAGTCATAAACTTGGAAACTTTCATAAAGAGTAAGGTGAAGGCGTTTAACCTGCTGCGTTTAACCTGGAAATTGTTTACAGCAGCCATGTTTGAATGAACTAAGATTGATTGGATTCTAAGAAGTCTGGTGAGTGTGAGTACAAATTGTGATAACATTTTGCACGAATATATTTGTATGAACAGAGGGTATAATCCGTTTCCTTCTTTCTGTGTAGTGGTACCCGGAGTTTGGAGATGGAGTGCTAAGATCCTCGTGGAAAACTTCTAGAAAGGCGGAATTCAAGATGTTTGCAAAATCATTCCATGGAATAGGCTCACCAGAACCAAACAGAAATATTAACTTTTTCTCAATGTGACTCATTAATTTTTAAAACTGAGGCCGGCTACTTAGAAATGAAGTGCAAGTGTGCATTTGTTGTATCAAGATAGGCAAATTTCGGATACGCTTTTTAGACTTTGTTGGAACATTGGTATTTTTTTTTGCGCGTCTGACAGTCTTTGCAATGTGGTATTAAACCAAGGAGGCATGGAGAAAACTGAAATATTTCGAAAGAGCATGCTATTGATGATTTTTTTATTAGGTGACTACGATCTGTTACTTGATCAGTTTTTGTTAGTAAGGCGCATTATAAGGGCATTGACTAGTGTTTTCCTGGGCGAAGTGTTAACCCTCGTGCATTTCTTAATCACTTATTTTTTAGTGTCAAGAAAGGAATCGTCAAAGTTCCGGAAGAAAATTATTTATCTTGTAACTTGAAAATAGCTCTAACATCCATCTAAAGGGGATTTGCTTAGGATGAGAAAACGAACAGATCTAAAAAGGGATGGATAAAATATATGTTGAAATAACACTGTGAAGAATATGATCATAACAAGTACGCAAGATGATATGATGAAGTGATCGTGAGAAGCACGCAAGGCGATATTATGAATAAAACGCTGGATTATTTTGTCACTTTACACCGTCTTTAATTCTCGTTAGATCGACTTCAGCTACTAACGAGATTCGGATAGAATAGTTTTCGAGGTTTCAAAATCGTATATTGATGGGCGTCTGGCATCTTGGTCAATCTTGGTGATGGGCGTCTGGCATCCCTTTCATCTTGGTCGAATAATCCCGACGGCAGTCGAGAAATCAACTAAATCAAAATCTTTATTGCGGTTTAGTTATAGACACAAATCGAGCGGAGCGTAGAATACATTCCTGCCAGAACTCTTCGACTCTCGTTTCGTGCAAAAGTCAAGCCTAACGAACGTTTTTAGGCAGAATTATTGTCCCACAAAATGTAATGTAATTTCCATTCTAAATATAGCAGCTAAATTATGTGTTGCACATTAGCTAAATTTCCGCTGAATTTCAAGCAGTTTGCTTAACTGCGCCGCTAAATTTAGCGAGGAAATTCTACCTCACATTTTAGGCAGCTCGGCTTTATTACAAAAATCAGTCTTCCTTGAATATTTTCGTCCCACCTTCGGGGAGATCGAGCGGAGTAGGGGCAGCCAAAGAATGCATTTTACATTAAATGTTAACTGTTCATCTTTGAGTTTTTTTTTCTTTCTTCCTAATTAGTGATTTAATGTTATATTCACGTAAGCTCTTCCTTGTATAGTGACTATTTCTATTCTCGCAAAGTTTATTTGACGAGGCTGCGAGAGCTGTCAGCATATTGCGCGATTTGCGCCTAATGCGTTAATTCATATGTTATGTTTTCCATGGGTGACTTCTTGACGTGTAGGTATTTTTATGTGAACCTTTGCTGTGTTGCGTCTTGCGGCTTTCGGGTTAGACAAACTTTTTTGAACAGCTTCGGTTTGTCTTCCACAAGCCTTGTGTTTTTTTGTTGAAAAATATGTGCAGTTTATTATTTTTAAATCTGGTTATACTATTTTTCCGTCTTGATTTATCTTGCATTTTTTTATTTTTATCATTATGTTTATGTTAATAATATTGTAATCCTAACGTTGTATTTATGCTTTTTGTATTTTATTTATTACCTCACATTTTTGTTTACCACTCTATCTGTCTCTTTTTATGTTGCATGCGCCAGCACCAAAACCTTAAGGCCGTGCACCGAATAAAATAAATTCTTCATCCTTGAACGTTATTAATATTATTACTAAATGTATAGCATTTATAGGGTCAGCCTTAGCGCTTTTTTGTTTGTGGCACGTGGCCTCGATGACGTCACATGCCACTGTGAATTCATTCTAAAGGTGCTCTAAAAGCGTAGTATTTATAGGTGTTTTGCAACGTCACCTGATAGGATGACGTCACAGGACACCGTGACGCGCGTGACACTTAGGTTATGTGACACCAGGAGGTTACGTGACACTGTGGCGTCACGGTATCGTGTGACGTGACCTGATGTCACGTCAGATGGTCATGCGATATCAGGTAACACCATGACTTCACGTCGTTATCACGTTATGTTACCACATGACGTCATTGCATCAGTTGACATCATAGTATAGGAGGAGCGTGAAGAGGCCCTATAAATTATATGCATTTAGAATGCCTTTAGAAAAAGCCAATGGCAGTCATCATTATCATCATCATCATTAATATATCATTATTACTCATTATTCCTTAATTAAATTAAACTTATCCTCACATGGCTGTAGGAGTCGGAGTAGGCATCTGCGTATCCCATAAGCCAGGCCCTTCCCTGAGGTCCAGATCTGGTCCAGAGAAGTTCGGTGGAATTGTCCTCCGAGCGGGAGAGGAGGCTGAGCCTTCCGCTGTTGGGGTGCCTCATGCTGTACCAGAAAGAGAAGCAGCGGCCGGCGGGACCCGAAGCACCTAGGCGCTTGGACACCAGGTGGCCTCTGCCCTCCTCGGTCGCGTGGTTCGTGGTGTACATGTACGGGCCTGGAGATACACAAAGTGGATTATTTAGGCACAGATGGGTGTTGGCATACTCTGTTTCACCTCAAGTCCGAATGGGTCTGACGCCACGAGCTGATGGAACCAGTCAAACGTCATAAACACACCATCATCGTGTTTGTCATGTTTCTGTAATGGTTCTATAATCGCCACACCAATCATGTACAGGGAAGGACCAGTGACTTTCGCTTTTGATGTCGTTTGATTGGTCCCATTACCTCGTAGCGTCGGCTGCGTCTGAACTTTAGGTGAAACGAAGTATATTACACGGAATCGGTGGGACCTATGGCTGAGTAGCGCAGATCAGCTCGGAGCACGTGGAGCGAAAACTCGCGCTGTTGAACCCAGGGATCGTGGGTTCAATTTTCACCCGTTCTCACCTACCGAAAGTTTACTGTACTATATTGAGTAAAATATACCCAGGTTACTTAAGGGTTGCGTTTGTTTTTGTTTAGTTTTCAAAGTGTACATTCCTTTTATTCTAGCCCAGCATAAACTGAACTCGAATGTGGATGCCTGTGTGGTTTCTCTAAATTAAACGACGAACCTAATCATTGTATCTTTACGTGCGGAAGAGGAAGGATCGGTGCCGTGTCTTAAGGTCCGACGAGAAGACAGAAAGGAGAAAACTCTCTCTCCCTCAATTCCTACTTTCCATTCGAGAAAGAGGGAGATCCTCCTCCTTCTTGTGGGGAGTAGCTCAGTGAGTCACTGTTGTGGGAAGAGGGGGCGAGAAGAGGGCGAGAGGGAATGAACACAAGGAAACTGGAAACCAGTTTTCTTCCCTACAGAAGACGAATGTGTAGGTCGGCCTCGCAGCGCATGGAGCGAAAGCTCGTGCTGCAGAACCTAGGACTTCTAAGTTCAATCCCCACCTTTGCGCGTTTCGATCTGGACGAACATTGCACCGGCGTGGGGTCGTGTATCACTATTTCGTGATGCTCGTAAAACATCTCAGGCTAGCAGTTGTACTTCACTAACACACTTTCTGGTACTACAAATAGTACGAACAAACTCTGCACTATCTTCACTGCTCGGAATGTACAGAACGAGATAAGTACATGCAAGCCCAGAATGGGAGTTCAGAAACATTTCTAGTAGAAAAAAGTAATTTGAAACTAATGCCATTTTTCTAAAGTAATTCGCTAGTGTGATGAATTACGTTTACACCGTGGTGCATTGTAATGTATATGAATTACATATCATAGTAATTGGGAAAGTAAGTTGTAACGTAATTTTCTAACACAAACGTAATTTCGCCAGCCCTGCAGCTGAGACAGCATAGGCCTATTTTGGCTGAATAACTTCCGGCTGTCTAAAGATACACACAACATAAATAGTACGTGCACAAGAAGAAAGCGTACCTGAATGCCCGACGTCAAGATAAGGGGGCAGCCAGCGGCGACTAAGGATCCCGCCGGCGTACTTGACCCAGTCGAGTTCTGTCGCCTCGTTCTCAGGGAACCACCCGCACTCGTCGTCCCGCTCAAACGAACAGCTTACGTGCAACTCCTCTTCGTCTGATGGAGAGAAAATAAAAACATTTCGGACGGAACCAACTATGTTGCTGTCTAATTAAACGATTAGCTGCAGAGATGATTGAAAGAGCCGCGGCAAGTCACGGGTCAATTTTCCCGCTAAATTTAGCGGCTAAACCGAATTTGTGGGTAGGTGACGTAACCTCAAGCCACGTGATGTCATTTTTCCCGCTAAATTTAGCGGAGAAAATGAATTGGTGTTGAGGGCACGAACATCAAGTCACGTGACGTAAGCTTTCCAGCTAAATTTAGCGGGGAAATTGAATTCGTGCTGAAATCACATCACCTCACATTTTCCCGCTAAGCGTGGAAACTGAATTTATTCATAGGTCACGTGACACCACGTGACGTCATTTTACCCAGTAAAGTTAACGGGGAAACTGCATTGGTATTAAGGACACATTACGTCAATTTTCCCGCTAAACCTATGTGGAAAAATAATTTTTGTATAGGTCAGGTGACATCGTGTCACTTGAAGTCAATTTTTCCGCTAAATTTAGCGTGGGAACTGATCTTGTGCATAGGTCATGTTACATCAAGTGATATCGATTTCCCCGATAAATTTAGCGGGAAAAATAAGAGGCCAGAAACATATCTTGAAGTGGCCTTAAGAGCTCAAGAAAGCTAACCGCTTTATTCGTCGCTTTAAAATCGCTTTAAAAAATGTGAAACCCCATGACGCAAAGTCATATACACACCTAAGAAACATGACTTCCTATCTGATAACCTTAGAGAAGCACAGAATGTGTGAAAATGAGCTGGGCACATGCCGTGTGTGTCCAACGCCACGTGACGTCACAGAGTCACACGTCATCTTAAAGTCACGTGACCTCGTGACTGCCTCATCACGTGGAACCATTGCATCACTCACTTGACGTCAAGTTTGGGTGTCATGTGACGTTGCAGTCCCACACAACGTTTTGATTTAATGTGACGTCACGCTGTTACATGACGTCATGATATCATGTGACGTCACGTAACAAGGTAATATATCACGCGACAGCCCGACGTCAAGGTTATGTTAGCAAAATACCCTTCACGGGACTATATTGCTTATATGACCTTGATCATTGTCGTCCGAGCGTAACGCTCGAGTTCGCGTTCCACAGCCCAGTAGACAAAAATGGCAGCGCGCACAAGGCTATAATTAGCACGGTTTATATACTTTTTTTGCAGGTATACGGCGTCAGGGCGTCGGCATCCTTCCGATAGTGTGGGCAGGTCGGTTATAGTCAAGCATTGCTGAGGCGTACCCACGGCCTCAGCTATACTTGGACATCAGACGACCCACCCACACCAGTGGTAAGATTGTGGCGCCCAGAGGATGCATACTTGCAAGCGTGTATTAAGGCAACCTGCAATGATGTTTACTTTGGCGCTATCCAGCGACTCAAGCAAGAAGCATTGGATATGCCTGGGAGTGGCGGCCGCATCGTTCAAAAGTGAGCTATTACTCTGTTGGCGCCGCTTATCCTATGCGGAGGACAAGTTCGTCTGCTTCTTGCGCAGGGTAGCGGTGACGTCAGAACGCCGAGCCCTGATTGGCTGATCGCGACCCCCTATCTGAGCGTCGTCTGCTCGCAACGTCGTCTGCGTCTGTCTTACCTTTCCTGCGACTTTCGGAACTGCGGAGGGTTCACAAAACGATCTTGCACCAAAAATATGCGTAAGACAAAACTTGGGAACTAATTCGTATTCACGAAACGAAAATTTCGTAAGTTTTGCACAGGTTACGACGAAATCCCACGACAGCTCCGAAGCTGTCTTACGCACTTCTTACGATCAAATCAGCATGGCCGACAGCGTCGCGGTCGGGACGACCAACGGACGTTTATTTTTCTACGTGCGCGTCTCACGCGTCCCGACTTCAAGCAGCAAGAAAAAAGTAAGAAGTACTTGAAACAGACCACGACGAACAAGAACGCTGGATCCACAAACACCCGGGAAAAGCTCCAACGGCCACGATTCCACCGACAACGACCAAGCGAGCACGGCAGATAGGCCTAGCAGGCACTCCGACTCGGCGACCGTCTGCCCATGACCGGCTGGCGTGCTGAATGGAATATGCCCGCGCGACCCTTGGGAACCCTTCCCGTCTTATACTTTGATCGCTGACCTCAGTTTTAGATTAAGAGGTCAATCTCTTCCTCTTGTCATCTCCTTGTTTTCCGAGGCAACGGTGACTCTCGCCGGTAAAAAAGCGGTGAATCTGCGACAGACGCAGGAAAGGTAAAGCAGCCATCGCTTTGACTAGCAGACGTAAAGCAGACGACGTTAACAGCGCCGACCCGCCGACGCCGCTAAAGGGTGAGGAATCTCGCCGCACACGAAAGGAGGGAAAAAGTTTGTGGGAGGGAACTTGCGGACACTAACACGCTCACCTGTCGGTTCTTAGCAAACAAACCTCAGCGTTTCGGGACACCTCGCCAGTGAGTCCTTTGACTTCCCTCCTTGATGCGCGTGTGCTAGTTCATGTTAAACAAAAACAACGTACTACCGCCCGAGTTATTTCGTCTGCCCTCTCTGAAAGGCAAAGCCGAGCTTGCTCGACTTTCAAAAGTCGCAGGAAAGGTAAGACAGGCGCAGACGACGTTGCAAAAGAGCAGACGACGCTCAGATAGGGGGTCGCGATCAGCCAATCAGGGCTCGGCGTTCTGACGTCACCGCTACTTCCTTTCTCATGCGCAGAAGACGAAAATGAGCCCACCTGCGAGGCGTCTATACTTCGTTTCAGCTTCGGTCCGAGCGCGGCTGATGTTATGAGCCGAAGGGCCAATCAAACACCGCAAAACGCGCAGCGTCATGGCGTGCTCTGCGCTTGATAAGACTAGCCGGCGGAGGAGCACGCCGGAGCACGCACAGAGAGACGGCGAATACCGGCTGGTCCTATCAACTGCAGAGAGCACGCCATGACGTTGTGCCTCTTTCGCTGTTTAATTGGCCCTTCGGCTCATAACATCGGCCGCGCTCGGACCGAAGCTGAAACGAAGTATAAGACAGACACAGACGACGTTGCAAAGGAGCAGACGACGCTCAGATAGGGGGTCGCGATCAGCCAATCAGGGCTCGGCGTTCTGACGTCACCGCTACTTCCTTTCTCATGCGCAGAAGACGAAAATGAGCCCACTTGCGAGGCGTCTAAGACAGACACAGACGACGTTGCAAAGGAGCAGACGACGCTCAGATAGGGGGTCGCGATCAGCCAATCAGGGCTCGGCGTTCTGACGTCACCGCTACTTCCTTTCTCATGCGCAGAAGACGAAAATGAGCCCACCTGCGAGGCGTCTAAGACAGACGCAGACGACGTTGCGAGCATACGACGTTGCAAAGGAGCAGACGACGCTCAGATAGGGGGTCGCGATCAGCCAATCAGGGCTCGGCGTTCTGACGTCACCGCTACTTCCTTTCTCATGCGCAGAAGACGAAAATGAGCCCACCTGCGAGGCGTCTAAGACAGACGCAGACGACGTTGCGAGCATACGACGTTGCAAAGGAGCAGACGACGCTCAGATAGGGGGTCGCGATCAGCCAATCAGGGCTCGGCGTTCTGACGTCACCGCTACTTCCTTTCTCATGCGCAGAAGACGAAAATGAGCCCACTTGCGAGGCGTCTAAGACAGACGCAGACGACGCTGCAAAGGAGCAGACGACGCTCAGATAGGGGGTCGCGATCAGCCAATCAGGGCTTGGCGTTCTGACGTCACCGCTACTTCCTTTCTCATGCGCAGAAGACGAAAATGAGCCCACCTGCGAGGCGTCTAAGACAGACGCAGACGACGTTGCGAGCATACGACGTTGCAAAGGAGCAGACGACGCTCAGATAGGGGGTCGCGATCAGCCAATCAGGGCTCGGCGTTCTGACGTCACCGCTACTTCCTTTCTCATGCGCAGAAGACGAAAATGAGCCCTCTTGCGAGGCGTCTAAGACAGACGCAGACGACGTTGCAAAGGAGCAGACGACGCTCAGATAGGGCGTCGCGATGAGCCAATCAGGGCTCGGCGTTCTGACGTCACCGCTACTTCCTTTCTCATGCGCAGAAGACGAAAATGAGCCCACCTGCGAGGCGTCTAAGACAGACGCAGACGACGTTGCGAGCATACGACGTTGCAAAGGAGCAGACGACGCTCAGATAGGGGGTCGCGATCAGCCAATCAGGGCTCGGCGTTCTGACGTCACCGCTACTTCCTTTCTCATGCGCAGAAGACGAAAATGAGCCCACTTGCGAGGCGTCTAAGACAGACGCAGACGACGCTGCAAATGGAGCAGACGACGCTCAGATAGGGGGTCGCGATCAGCCAATCAGGGCTCGGCGTTCTGACGTCACCGCTACCTCCTTTCTCATGCGCAGAAGACGAAAATGAGCCCACCTGCGAGGCGTCTAAGACAGAGGCAGACGACGTTGCGAGCATACGACGTTGCAAAGGAGCAGACGACGCTCAGATAGGGCGTCGCGATGAGCCAATCAGGGCTCGGCGTTCTGACGTCACCGCTACTTCCTTTCTCATGCGCAGAAGACGAAAATGAGCCCACCTGCGAGGCGTCTAAGACAGACGCAGACGACGTTGCGAGCATACGACGTTGCAAAGGAGCAGACGACGCTCAGATAGGGCGTCGCGATGAGCCAATCAGGGCTCGGCGTTCTGACGTCACCGCTACTTCCTTTCTCATGCGCAGAAGACGAAAATGAGCCCACTTGCGAGGCCTATTGTCTGAAGCAAGAAATACTGGGTAGGCCAGGATACCGTGATCACATAACATGTCAGTACGTCGGAAGTTACGGCCCTGCCGTGCCAATCGGAAGGTGACTACTTAACACCGGAGTGCGCTTTTAGTGCGAAGAGCTATCAGACTTTTCACTGCGTCACGCTCCGATATCTGTGCGCTGCGCTCGTATATGTAACGCATATCAAAGCCGTCGGCATGAAATGTGGGACATGTCGTTCACATGTCGTTTACCCTCTTAATAATAATAATAATAATA